ACACGACGAGAGGAGGGGTGGTAAAACTGCCACCCTGGGGCGTCAGTGGGGAAGCCAAGGAAGACACAGGGAGCAGCGCGAGGGGACAGCTTGTCCGCAGACAAGTCGCGGACAAACGCCCGAGATCCCCAGACACGGAACACAGACGCATCGCCAACCTTCCCCGTCCACAGCAAGGCTGGGGACATCGCAGGCCGAGAGACCCGGGGGTGAAGGTTGAGCTGATGCGCCGCGTACCTCACCGCAAACGGCCACAGAAAATGGGGGGCAGCCACATGCATCATGGACGTACGAGCGACATCCATGACCATGCCAATGCGGCGCTCAGCAATCCCATTTTGCTGTGGTGAGTCCGGAAGCGTGAAGGTCTGGCGGATCCCCCGTGCACGACAGTAGTCTCGCAGAAGGCGAGAAGAGAGCTCTCCGCCTCGGTCAGAGTGCAGACGCAGAACAGGAAAGTCCGAGCCGAAGCTCTTCCTGAGCTGGAGACGAGCCTCGCGGATCCACTCGATCAGCACCTCAGTGACCGCACCCTTGCTGCGCAAGGGGAGGACTGTGGTGTAACGCGAGTAGTCGTCAACCACCAACAGGAAGTAGCGCTCGTAACCCTGCCCACGGACGGGGGCTGGGCCCCACACATCCATGTGAAGCGTCTGCAGGGGAGCCTCTGTCGGGGGGAAGTGGGAGGAGTGAGGAGTAGCCCGGAGGCGACCCTCGACACAGGGGACACAGGAAGGTCCTGGCCCGGAGGGGAGAGGAGGGAGAGACTGGGGAAGACCAGAGACAAGGACACGGGAAGCCATGCTCCGAAGACGGGGCAAGGAGGGGTGGCCAAGACGGTGGTGCCACAGGAGAGTCTCGTGAGACAGGAGGCGACAAGAACAGGGGGCAGACTCAGGACCTGACCGGGACGCAGCAGCAAGTACCTGACCCGACGCAGCCACCTGACCAGACGCAGGGACAGGAGGAGACTCAACGGTCAGGGTGTAGAGACTCGACCTCGGCCGACGCGAGAACGTGGCCAGGTGTCGGCCTGTGCGTGCCTCCGTGCAGTGGGTCACCCGCTGACTCGCAGGAGTGAACTGGTGAACACCCCCATCCTGCAGGTCTGCTCCACTCACCAAGTTCGTAGAGAACGAGGGAAGGTACAGACCCGACAGGGTGCCCGAAGGGGCAGCCGGACACGGGAGGACAGTGGAGAAGTGAGACAGGACAGGACCCCCAGAGGGGTCAGCAAGGGAGACCGCAACCGGCCGGCCAAGCGGCGTAAGGGTAGTGCGGTCTCGAAAGAAGGAGCGAGAAGCTCCGGAGTCAAGTGTGAAAGTGAGGGAGGACGAGGACGACTCAGTACCTGAGAGCGCAGTCTCACCAGTACCTGAGAGCGCAGACGCACTGGCACCTAGAGCAGCAGCCTCACAAGCACCTAGCGCAGCAGGACCAATGCCCGGGTCGGGCTGGAAACAGCGGTAACCCTCATTCTCCTCACTATAATCCACAACATACATAGCAGTAAGGATCGCATCAAAATCAAGATCAAAGATCGCTACACCAGCCCTGAGAAGCTCATCCCAGCGAGGGATCTCACTAGCCCCAGGGAACTGCTGACGCCAGGCGTCCGTCAGGCGGCCAAAGCAGCGCTGGGTCGCGTGGGCACCCCCACACTGCTCACCCGCGCGGTCGCCGGAACGAAGAACGTAGGTGCCGGGACCAGTACCCCCACCCCTCTGACGCCCAGCGTACCACTCACGAAGCTGCTGAGGCGAAGGGATGTCCCGAGAGCGCTGCTGCTGCTGCCGCTGCGAGCGCTGGCCACCACCACCGCCGCTACGCTGCTGGGTACCACCCCGACCAGATCCACCCCCTCCACCACCACTGCCTCCTCCGCTGCCGCCTCCACCGCCTCCACCTCCGCCGCCTCCACCTCCGCCGCTGCCTCCACCACCACCGCTGGCACCACCACCACCGTCTCCGCCGCTGCTGCCACCACCACCACCACCCCCGCCACTAGCCCCGCCGCCACCCCCACTCCCTCCGCTGCCACCGCCGCCACCGCCACCGCCCCCTCCAGCTCCACCCGCGCCCTTGCCCCCCTTGCCCTTGCTGGAGCGACGTCTCCCACTAGGGGCAGACGCCGCGCCGACCGACTCTAGACCAAGCAGGTCGGCAGCAGCAGCAGAGGCAACAGAGGGCAGCAAGGGGGAAGGAGAGCACCCCTCAAAGATGGGGGTGCGAGGGTCACCACGAGAAGCACCTACAGCGACGATGCTCTTCTCCGCTACGAGGAGGGCCTTCTCGAGGAGGTCGACGGAGAGGGTGGTGGGACAGACTGCGAGAAAGTGGTCCCTGACGACTCGAAGGGAGTCAGGGAGGCGCGCGACTACGTAGTAGAGAGCGATGTACATGGGGGGGGGGTTCTTAGCGCAGAACTCAGCAGGAAGGGCGGCGCGGTAGCGAGTGTCACTAGTGCGGAGGTGCGTAATGAGGTCAGCGACAGTGGGAAAGGCAGAGAGGTCAGGAAAGAGGTAGGGAAGCATGAGACGGCTCAGTGCAGCAGTGGCAGGGGAGGAGTAGCGCGCAACTACAGCGTCGTACAAGGTCTGAGCACTCTTGTGCTGACTGAAGTGCGCACGCTCAGAGGTAGGGAGGTGGCGACGCACAGCAAGACGTGCAGCAGCATCGCGGGTGGCCCACTTAGAGCGGACAGCGGGCTCAACATCAGCAGCAGGAGCAGGAGAGGCGCCAGAGGTGAGATCAAAGAGAGAAAGGTCGTCAGCCCTGTCGCACTGTAAGAACAGCTGCAGGTCGTCTAACCAGACCTCAAAATCAATGGCGCGACCCTCAGCGTCAAAAGCTAGGACACTAGGGGTAGCCATGGCGACGACAGCGACGCAGTGCTAGCAGCAGGGAAAGAGCTCGCAGTGTCAGTGGGACTGTGCTCACCAGGCAGGGCAGGTCGTGTAGGTATGCAGAAAGGCGGCTCGGGTGCTGGGCGGCTCGGCTGCTGGGCGGCTCGGGCGCAGGGCGGCTCGGCTCCCGGGCTGCTCGGCGGCTGGGCGGCTCGGGTGCAGGGCGGCTCGGCTCCCGGGCGGCTCGGCGGCAGGGCGGCTCGGGTCCCGGGCGGCTCGGCGTCGGGCGGCTCGGCTCACGGGCGGTTCGGCTGCTGAGGCGGCTCGGCCAGGAGATGCAGGGGCGGGGCCGTCAGGTGCAGCGGCGGGTTGACCGGTGCAGTGGCGGGCCGGCAGGTGCAGAGGCGGGCCGGCAGGTGCAGTGGCGGGCCGGCAGGTGCAGCGACGGGCCGTAGGGTGCAGTGGCGGGCCGTAGGGTGCAGCGGCGGGCCGGCAGGTGCAGCAGCGAGGCCGGCAGGTGCAGCGGCGAGGCCGGCAGGTGCAGTGGCGGGCCGGCAGGTGCAGCGGCGGGCCGTAGGGTGCAGTGGCGGGCCGGCAGGTGCAGCGGCAGGCCGGCAGGTGCAGTGGCGGGCCGGCAGGAGAGGCGGCAGGGCCGCGTCAGGGGAGGCGGCAGGGCCGCGTCAGGGGAGGCGGGGGAGCCGCGTCAGGGGAGGCGGCGGTGCCGCGTCAGGGGAGGCGGGGGAGCCGCGTCAGGGGAGGCGGCAGGGCCGCGTCAGGGGAGGCGGCGGGGCCGCGTCAGACAGGCGGCGGGGCCGCGTCAGGAGAGGCGGCGGAGCCGCGTCAGGGGAGGCGGCGAGGCCGCGTCAGGGGAGGCGGCGGAGCCGCGTCAGGGTAGGCGGCGAGGCCGCGTCAAACAGGCGGCGGGGCCGCGATCAGGAGAGGTGGCGGGGCCGCGTCTGAGGGACAGCGGGGCCGCGAGGGAAAAGGCGACCCGAGGGGGTCGCTAAAAAAAGGCGCGCCTCGGGGCGCGCTTCGGTGGGCCCTAAAAAAAAAACGGTCCTAAGGTAGGACCCGCTCTATACCATGTGAAGTAAAGAAAACAGGAATGAAATGACTAAGGAAAGATTGGGTACAAATACAACCCTAGAAAACCTGTACCCCATATGTGCTACCCCACTATAGCCTACAGCAACTATGTCATATAAATCTGACACAGGTAGGTGCCGGGGCCGCACAGGTAGGTGGCGGGGCCGCGGGTAGGTGGCGGGGCCGCAGGTAGGTGGCGGGGCTAGCAGGTAGGTGCCGGGGCCGCACAGGTAGGTGGCGGGGCCGCGGGTAGGTGGCGGGGCCGCAGGTAGGTGGCGGGGCCTCTGGTAGGTGGCGGGGGCGCAGGTAGGTGGCGGGGCCAGCAGATAGGCGCCGGGCCGCACAGGTAGGCGTCGGGGCCGCAGGTAGGCGCCGGGGCCGGTAAGGGCGGCGTCAGGGCCGCAGGGCGGCGCGAGGGCCGCTGGGTAGGCAACGAAGCCGCAGGGCGGCGGATCGGGGCCGGGAAAGGGCGGCGCGATGGCCGCGGGGTAGGCAACGAGGCCGCAGGGCGGCGGGTCGGGGCCAGGAAGGGCGGCGCGAGGGCCGCAAGGCAGGCGACGGGGCCTCTAGGGCGGCGCGACGGGGCGAGAAAAGGGGGGAGCGCGACTCGGGCTAGGGCTGAGCGCGCTCCGGGCAGGAAAATAAAAATGTCGAATTGGTGGGCCCTAGGAAGAGTTCCCACGAGGGAACCTGCTCGATACCATGAGAGAATAGAAACGAGAATGAATGAACTATGAAACAGTTGGGTACAAGTACTAACCCCAATTGGGTTGTACCCCATATGGGCTACCCCACTACAGCCTACACAAAAGCATAAGCTATAATGTTCTGACAAGTGAAGCGAGAGGCGAGCACGAGTAGAACAAGGCAAAACTGAGCATGTTGAGAGCAGCGGAAGGCCTGAGCAGGAGAGGGAACCTATTGCCAATTGGGAGATGAAAGGGTTGGTGAAAAATATACGGCAGAAAGTTAATAGCATCGGCGGGGGGTGACGAGCGGGGGGGCAAGAGGGGGAGATCGTACCATTAGTCTGCTGCAGCTGGGCAACAGATTTCTGGGCTTTGTTGTTTAAGCACTGCTTGCGCTTGAAGGCGAAGGTCTCGTGGTCGGAGTCGCGGTGATTGTTCCCGCAGAACGCGCACACATGGGTGGAGATGTTGAGCAGGGCGGGAGAGGAGTCATCCTCAAACGGGATGACCGCAGGGATGCGGGAGAAGGCCGGGTCATCCGGGGGGGAAGCGGGATGCCGGTGAAAATAGGGAGGAAAACCTCCTCGTATGGGTCGGTGGTACGATGGAAGAACTGCAGATCCGCGAGCCAAGCCGGCTCCGACGGATCCGCACCTTGCAGCAGAAAATCGCTAACATCCTCCGGGGTATACCCCGGTGGGATGTTGTGGAGCAACAGCGTGGCGGCACCCCCGGCTTTGGCAGCCGTGAAGCCGGGGTTGCGGTCTTCAAAGACCTTGAGAAGCACAGAGCGGGACGCAGAAAGAGGGATGGAACGGGGGAAAAGGCGTTTAAAGTCCTCTGCCTCTTCCTCCGTCGGCCAAGAGAAGCAGAGCCGTGCGTAGGCACGGCGTGGAACCCGGAGCGGCTCGCCGGTGGCGACCTCAAACTCCGGGACAGAGCCGCGGCGGAAGAAGTGCGGCTTCAGCATGGCGGTGATATGAGCGATAAGATCCGCGCGGATGGCGTCCGCGCAGGTCTCGGGCATAAGAAGCGTGACAACAGCGAGGCGGCGGCGGGGCATGACCGGGCCAGGCCTCGGGCGGCGGAGGATGCGGGAGGGCGCGGGGGTAGGGGCATGAGTCAACGGGACGGCGCCGGCGCCCAGAGCGGTGCTAAGGCGGGGGGAAGTCGGGTTGGCAGCCCTGCGCAGGGCAGGGGACGGAGCAGAGGCGGCCGTCACCGGGGAGGGAGCGCCAGGAGAGGCACCCAAGGCGTTGCAGGGCGGGAGAGGAGCCAGAGCCGCCATCACGCCGATGGACAACGCCGAAGGGGCGGGCACGGGCGGAGGGGCTGCGACGCAGACTTTCTTCGCCGCCGGGGGTTCATCAGCTGCGGGGGGGGAAGCGAGAGGGATGGCGGGGAGCTCGTCGAGGTGGAGCTCCTTGCCATTGAGCTGGAGTTCCTCGTCAACGAGTGTCATTTTGTCGTCCGGATTGGGGATCTGAGCGGCCATGAGAAGAGGGTAGGGGGAGTCGAGAGCGAAGTGGGGAGTTTGGTGAGAAGTGCCAAGGAGACGCGCATATTTATCCTCCCATTCCGAGAGGCGAGCGTCTCGGCATATCTGAGGGCAGTCAGGGTAGGATGGTGAGGAAGAGGGGGGGAGAGCAGAAGGAGGCAGTTGGCGGTTCGTATCTGGCCTGAAAGGTCCGAGATGTTGGAGGGAAGAGCGGGGAGCATCGAGAAGGAGGTGTTCGCAGTTCGGATCTGGCCTGTAGGCTGAGCCTGGCCTTTTTGCCAGGTCACCACCTACTGGCCTGGGGCTGACGGAATTTGCTAGTGACTCGTCATCAAAGATTACCTAGAAAAACAATCTTCTAACCCAGAAAAAACATCGCTATGGTACAAAATATAAACCCCATTCAGATGGCATATATTTGGGGAAGCATCAACCCTAAACACCGTGCGGCAAGATGTTTAGGGCCGAGGCCCCTTCAAAGGCATGACGCACGAGAAAAAACATTGTCAAATTTTAAATGTCGAGTCAATCTTTACGATGTCGTCAAGGAAGAAATAGTCACCTTGTGTTGTCAGGTCTGACGGAGCGCGTGGATGAGGCTCGAAATTCATTGGGCCCAGGCCTGACCCAGGTTCGACTCCTTGCGACACACGAGGCCCCAATTCGACAACTTTTCTAGAGCTTTGGGTGTCAAACTGTATGTTTGTGTTCTCTCTAGGCTGTAGTGGGTTAGCCTACAAGGGATACAACACTTAAGGAGTTAGGTACTTGTACTCATGCCTGCTACCTAGTCCATCATTCCTGCCTACTTATTCTAATTTGGTATTAGAGCAGAATCGTTCCTAGGGCCCACCGAACGTTCCGCCTTGCCCTAACCGAAAAAAATTCTTCCTATGCTGCCCCTGCAGCCACGCTGCCCTAGCAGCCCGCGTGCTGCCCCTGCAACCGTGCTCGCCCCTGCGACCGTGCTGCCCCTGCAGCCGTGCTTGCCCTTGCGACCGTGCTGCCCCTGCAGCCGTGCTCGCCCCTGCGACCGTGCTGCCCCTGCAGCCGTGCCTGCCCCTGCGACCGCGCTGCTCCTGCAGCCGTGCCTGCCCGTGTAGTCGTGCCTGCCCTTGTGGCCCACGTGCTGCCCCTGCAGCCCGCGAGTTCGCCCCTGCAGCCCGTGGGCGCTGACCCTGCAGCCCGCGCGCCGCCCTGCCGAGCCGCGCGTCGCCCCTGCAGCCCGTGGGAGCTGCCCCTGCAGCCCGTACGCCGCCCTGCAGAGCCGCGCGTCGCCCCTGCAGCCCGTACGCCGCCCTGTAGAGCCGCGTGTCGCCCCTGCAGCCAGCGCGCCGCCTTGCTGAGCCGCGCGTTGCCCCTGCAGCCCGTGGGCGCTGCCCCTGCAGCCCGTGGGCGCTGCCCCTGCAGCCCATGGGCGCGTCCCCTGCAGCCCGTACGCCGCCCTACAGAGCCGCGCGTCGCCCCTACAGCACGTACGCCACCCTGCAGAGCCGCACGTCGCCCCTGCAGCCCGTGGGCGCTGCCCCTGCAGCCCGCGCGCCGCCCTGCCGAGCCGAGCGTCGCCCCTGCAGCCTGGGCGCCGCCCTGTCGAGCCGCGCACCGCCCCTACAGCCCGCGCGCCGCCCTGCTGAGCTGCGCGTCGCCCCTGCAGCCCGTGGGCGCTGCCTCTGCATCCCACGCTCCGCCCTACCAAGCCGCGCGTCGCCCCTGCAGCTCGTGGGCCGCGCGCAACCCTAAACCCTAAAATAATAATAATAATAATAACAAAAGTAATAATAATAATAACAATAATAGTAATAATAGTAATAATAATACTACTAATAATAATAATAGTAATAACAATAATACTCGTGCTACTGCTGCTGCTGGTGGAGGTGCTGCTGGGAGTGCTGGAGGTGCGGCCGCCCAGCCCCACTGAGCCACCCTGCTGTTGCTACTACTACTACTACTGCTGCTACTCGTGCTACTACTGCTGCTGGTGGAGGTGCTGCTGGGAGTGCTGGAGGTGCTGCTATTGTTGGAGGAGCTGGAGGTGCTGGACCTACTCCTGACCGTCGCTGTCTGTCATGGCCACTATCGCGGCAATTGCTGCGGCCAAGGGTGGACAGCAGCGGACACTGCCTCTCCCGGACAACCCCACCCCTCAGGAGCTTCGTGAGTGGGTTGTTCAGCGAGGCAGGCTTGGTGGTGGAGGTTATCGTTGTGTTAAGGCTGCTGCTCTTGGTGCTAGTGAGTCTGCTGCCACTCCAGGTGCTAGTGAGTCTGCTGCCACTCCAAGTGCTAGTGAGTCTACTACAGCTCTAGGTGCCCGTGAGTCTGCCGACGCTCTAGGTGCTAGTGCGTCTACTGCCACAGGTCCTGCCTCCGCTGAGGTCTTGCACAATTTCACACTTGATTCAGGCGCGTCACGTTGCTTCTTTCGTGATTGCACCACAGTCACACCACTCACAGCACCTGTCCCAGTCTCACTGGCTGACCCCTCTGGGGGCCCAGTTGTTGCAAGAGCCTCCACGGTCCTCCCTTGTCCAGTAGTCCCCTTCGGTTCTCTGTCAGGTCTCCACCTCCCCACGTTCTCGACGAACTTGGTGAGCAACGCTGCCATTTAGGATGTCTGGGTTGATACCTTTAATCCTGGAGGGCAGCGTGTGGCGATCTGTACGTGCTTCCGGACTGGCCGTCACCTTGCTACGTTCACTCGACAGCCTGGGTCTAGTCTGTACACACTGACCACTGCGACTGCACAGGTGGCTGAGTTAGGTCAGGTGGCTGCGTCGAGTCGGGCGTCTGCGTCGGGACAGTTAGCTGCGTCTTGCTCGTGCAGAGTACTCATGCACGAGACTCAGCGCTAGCACCACCATCTTGGTCACCCCTCCCTGCCGCGTCTACGCAGTATGCACTCCCGTCTCCTTGTCTCTGGCCTCCCCAGGACCCTGCCCCCCCTACCGCGCTCGCTTGTCCTGCCGTGCCTTCCTTGCGTCGAGGGGCGGCAGCGCACCGCTCCTCACTCCTCCGAGTTTCCTCCGACCACTGCTCCTCTGCAGACTCTCCACCTGGACGTGTGGGGCCCAGCCCCAGTCGGTGGAACGGACCAGGAGTGCTACTTCCTGCTGGTTGTTGACGACTACACACGCTACACCACCGTCTTCCCCTTGCGGCGCAAGGCGGACATCAGCGGTTTTTTTATCCTTTGGATCCGTGCTACTCGTCTCCAGCTGCACGAGCGTTTTCAGCACGATTTCCCAGTCCTGCGTCTGCACTCTGACAGGGATGGTGAGTTCTCCTCTGGCGTCTTTGAGACATTCTGACAGGACGAGGGCATCGCCCAGTCGTTCACGCTTCCGGCCTCTCCGCAGCAAAATGGGATCGCAGAGCGTCGCATTGGCCTGATCATGGAGGTTGCTCGTACCTCCATGATCCATGCGGCTGCTCCCCGTTTCCTGTGGCCGTTTGCGGTCCGATACACCGCGCATCAGCTCAACCTCTGGCCCCGTGTCTCTGTTCCAGAGACCTCGCCCACACTCCACTGGACGGGACAGCCTGGTGATGCGAAGTCGTTTCGGGTCTGGGGCGCGCTCTCCCTTGTTCGCGATACCAAAGCGAGCAAGCTCTCTCCTCGCACTCTCCGCTGTGTCTTCTTGGGCTTCCCCACCGACGCCCCGCCCTGGCATTTCTACCACCCTGCCTTGCGTCGTGTTCTGTCCTCTCAGGACGTCACCTTCGACGAGTCAGTCTGTTACTACCGACTTCACCCACACGCGTCTCACCTGGTCCCCCTTGCACCTCTCTTCCTGGTACCAGTCCCCCCCCCGGTAGACCCCCTTCCCCCACAGAGTCCTGCTCCCTCATGTGTGTCTCAGGTAGACCCACCCCTCTTGGATGAGCTAGTGGAGATCTCTTCTGACTCCTCTGACCCAGCTGACGGGGGTGACACCGGCGCCGACGACACGGCGACCACTCGACACACTCCTCACTTGGAGACCCCCCCGGGTTTCCCACCTCGGCCGTCTTTGCCACCTCCGCGGCCTGCTGCTGTGGACTCTGGAGCTGAGGCTGCTAGAGCTGGGCCTGGGGGTGGTATGTCTGGGGGTGTCCGCTCTCCTCGTTTGGCTACCCCCCCCCCCCCCCCGGTTTCCCGCCGCTGCAGCCTTCTGCAGTAGACACTGGAGCTGAGACTGAGGGTGCAGGGACTGAGGGTACTAAGCCTTCAAGTGCTGGGACTGAGGGCACTGAGCCTGCGGGTGCTGGGACTAAGGGTACTGAGACTTTGGGTGCTGACTCTGGGGGTGCTGAGACTTCGGGTGCTGACTCTGGGGGTGCTGCGAGTCCTTGTGGAGGTCCTGGGGCTAGAGGTACTGGAGCTGGACAGCCACCGCAGCCTGCTCTACTTGAGACGCTCTTGCCGCACGCGATTCGTTCGTGGGTCGTTCGGCGAGGTAGTCCTGGTGGTGGAGGGTACGGTCCTGCTGGTGATGGAGCTACCAGTCCAGGAGGTGCTGCTGATGCTAGAGGTGCTGGATGCACTAGTGGAGGTACTAGAGGTGCTACGAGTGCTGGAGGTACTGGAGTTGCTGCTGGTGCTGGAGGTACTAGAGTTGCTAGTACTGGAGGTACTGCCGGTGCTGGAGGTACTGGAGCTGCTGATGCTGGAGGTACTACTGTTACTAGAGGTGCTGGAGGTGCTAGAGCTGCTGGCACTGGAGGTGCTGGTGCTACTGGTGCTGGAGCTGCGGGAGCTGCTGACCCTGGAGGTGCTGGTGCTGGAGGCGTTGGAGCTGGAGGTACTGGAGGTGCTGGAGCTACTGGTCCCGGAGGTGCTCACACTGGAGGTGCTGGAGCTGCTGGAGCAGGTGGTGCTGCTGGTGCTAGAGGTACTGGAGGTGCTACTGGAGCTGCTGGCATGGGAGGTACTAGAGGTACTACTGGTGCTGGAGGCGCTGGAGCTGGAGCTGGAGGCATTGGAGGTGCTGGAGGTACTACTGGTGCTCGAGGTGCTGGCGCTATCGGAGCTCGTGGTGCTCGAGGTGCTGGCGCTGTCGGAGCTCGTGGTGCTGGAGGTGCTGGTGCTACTGGTGCTGGAGGTGTTGCCAGGGGTACTGGAGGAGCTGCTCGTGCTGGAGGTATGGGAGCTGCTGGTGCTCTTCGCCAACTTCTCAGTCTTCCGCCCGGTGCTACTGACTTCCCTGTGGCAGGTACTACTCCCCCGTTGCTGTTTCCACCGGCGGACCAGTCACAGCCGCCGCTGCTACCGCACTCCCCACTACCTGCTCCTGCTCCTTACACTGTGGTGATACAGTCCTTGACTGAGCGTTGAGAGCCTGAGACTCCTGCTTCCACCCCTGAGCGTCGAGAGCCTGAGTCTAGCTTTGATCTTGAGCCTGAGCCTAGCACTGCTGTCCGTGCTCGTGTTCCTCGTGTTCGTCGTCCGCGTGCTCCGGCTGTCCCCAGCACTCACGATATGACACTCCGTCCTTCCTTTGTTCCACAGCGTGTTGTCCTACCGTTACCTCCTGCATCCTCTCTGCCTGACGTTGCTGACCCTCCGTCTGACCTTGCTTGTGCGTCCAGTCCGACTGTTACTCGCTTTCTTGCTACGGCTGTGACGGACCCTACGTTCTTGTCTCCTGCTACGTCTGCCCTAGTAGATGAGCTCGTTGACTTTGCTGCTGTGTACCGCCTATACTACCTTGCAAGTCTTGTCTCTGACCCTGTCCCTGCCTGTCCTCCGTCCGTCGGGGGTGAGACTGCTCTTAGCTATACTGCCCTTGGCTGTGACGTTCTTGAGGACAGACAGGAGGAGCTGGAGTGCCTTGCTGCCGCTTCACCCCATCACGCGACCATGCTGCTTGCCCCTGAGGGAGACCCGGATGCACTTGACATCCCCACCCCGCGCTCCTACGCGGAGGCGATTTCGGGTGAGTACTCCTCTCAGTGGCAGACAGCCATGGACGCAAAGATGGCTTCTTGGAAGTCCACAGGCACCTACATCGACGAGGTTCCCCCACCTGGGGCAAACATCGTCAGTGGCATGTGGATTTTCAGGGTGAAGCGGCCACCGGGTTCTCCGCCTGCCTTCAAGGCACGTTACGTTGCTCGAGGCTTCAGTCAGCGTGAGGGGGTCGACTTCTTTCAGACCTTCTCCCCCACCCCGAAGATGACCACTCTTCGGGTGTTGCTACACGTTGCAGCTCAGCGTGACTACGAGCTGCACTCTCTCGACTTCTCGACAGCTTTCTTACAGGGTAGCCTTCACGAGGCCGTTTGGTTGCGCCGTCCACCGGGCTTCACTGGGTCGTTTCCTGAGGGAACCGAGTGGAGCCTACGGCGACCTGTGTACGGCCTGCGTCAGGCGCCCCGCGAGTGGCACGACACACTGAGGACGACACTTGTGGCTCTTGGGTTTGCTCCTTCGACTGCTGACTCGTGGCTGTTTCTACGCACCGACACTTCTCTGCCGCCGTTCTACATCCTCGTGTACATTGACGACTTGGTTTTTGCTACTGCTGACACTGAGGCACTGGCCCTAGTGAAGGCGGAGCTGCAGGAGAGACACACCTGCACTGACCTAGGTGAGCTGCGGAGCTATCTTGGCTTGCAGATCACCCAGGACAGAGCACGGCGCACCATCACCCTGACTCAGTCACACATGGTGCACCAGGTTCTTCCGGGCTTCCGCTTTACGTACTCCTCGCCATAGCCCACTCCTCTGGCTACCGGCCACTCGCTCTCAGCTCCACCTTCGGACGAGTCCGTAGAGCCGAGTGGTCCGTACCCAGAGCTTGTGGGTTGCCTCATGTACCTGATGACGTGCACACGACCTGACCTCGCGTACCCTCTCAGTCTCTTGGCTCGCTACGTGGCACCTGGTTGACACCGAAAGGTGCACTTTGATGCTGCGAAGAGGGTACTACGCTACTTGTGCAGCACATCGGGCATGGGGCTTGTGCTTGGAGGACGAGGTTCAGTGGTCCTCACAGGACACTCTGACGATTCTTGGGCCGACGACCAGGCGACTCAGCGTTCGTCACAGGGCTACACCTTCAGTCTTGGCGCTGAATCTGTCTCGTGGAGGTCCATTCGTTATTTTTCTGTGCTTGGTTCCAGCTGTGAGACCTAGATCTACGCTAGGGCCATGGCTACACAGGAGCTCCGCTGGCTGACCTACCTGCTGACCGACTTGGGGGAGCGGCCTCGTTCTCCTCCAGTTCTGTACGACGACAACAAGGCAATGCTTGCCTTGTGTCGCGAGCAGAGACTGGGGCACTGAACGAAGAGCATTGCTCTTCGCTACTTCCTTGCGCGTGAGCTACAGCAGCGTGGTCAGCTGCGCCTTGCTTTCGTGGCCTCTTGGGCTAACACTGCTGATGTCTTCACCAAGGCCCTTGGGGCTGGTGATCATCAGCATTTCTGCACTGCTCTTGGGCTTGTGCCCACTCTGCCTGACCTGCTGGTTGCTTGACTTGCTCTTGTTGTACACTGATATATATCTTTATACCTGCTTGTATGCTCTTCCTAGGTTGTGATCAGTGTACTGTCTTGCTGTTATAACTCTGCATGTGAACTGGCCTTGTGGCCGCTTGCTTGTGCTCAGATTGTGTGGTGTCCTTGAGATTGACCTTGAGCTTTGCTTTGGTTTGCTTGTTCTCTTGCTTGACTGGTCTTGTGACCGTCTGTTGTGTTTGCTATCTCCCACTTAGCCTATGGGGGTGTGTCAAACTGTATGTTTGTGTTCTCTCTAGGCTTTAGTGGGTTAGCCTACAAGGGATATAACACTTTAGGGGTTAGGTACTTGTACTCATGCATGCTACCTAGTCCATCATTCCTGGCTGCTTATTCTAACACCGGGGCCCCAATATGATCATTTCCGTCAAAACAACGTACAGAGGTTTCTGGACGTGTAGCATTGTTCACAACCGAATATAAGGCGCTGTTCTTTTGGCCGAAAATGGCCTTCGCGGATTTTTCCATCCGCGCCAGTGGTGCGTCGGTTCAGGTTGGGCACTGTCCGAAGCTGGGTGCATCAAGAAAACCGAGAAAACCTGCATAACAACACTTCTGTGACACTGTACCTACCATAACCGCCCGTTTGTTCCACGCCATTTCCTCTCCAGACAAATGGTCTCTCGGGGTGAAATCACCTCCGCACCATTGGTGCGGGGCAGAGACCATCAGCCCATTGTTTTGCTCGTGGTAGGCTTGAACGCCCAACACTGACCGCGTTCAATTTTTAAGAAAGTGATCTCACGTTCTTGTTGTTCGATACTCTTTCAAAAGTGACTGATAAAGAAAATTACCGTATATCGTTGCCATTACGACGATGAGTTACCCTCGGTTCTCATTTCGCCAGACCGTGTCTAAAAGGGCAGACCCGAGTTTGGCTGATCTGTTCAACATAGAAGTTTACCTCGGTTAAAACTGAACCTTCATGTGTTGCCAAGTCAACCAAAAAGGCACCTGAAGTTAATACGAAGTTTACCAATCCCCCAACGTTGCAGCGACGAGAACTCCAGTAGAACAGCACCGAAGTATGTGTTGTGCTGAGAAAAGCCCTTAGGATCTTTGCAGGGGTGAACTTTGGGTAGGACTTGTTGAAATTAGGAGGTCGCTAGAGTAGCGGAAATACTCTAGGAAATAACGACGTCCCAGCGGCGGGGCTATGGTCACTCAGAGGTAGCTCTCCTGGCTTGTAACTTGGTGCCAAAGCGGCGGCCGAGGGTAGGCCGGACACAAGCTTGAGAATTGTGTAATGATAGCATGGCAGTACATTGAGTTATATAGGAAACATAGCAGGGAGGCAGTTACCAAGGCGCAACTGTATTACAGTTGCGCTGTAACGTTTCAGTTGCCCAGTTACTGGCGAGACCTTTCAGCTTCGGCAAGGGCGCAGTATTCTGCCGCGCCTCCAGGGTGGTTTCGCGTACTGTAGACGCTGCCTCTTGCTCAATTCGACCCTTCGGCTGCCACGCGGGTCGCAACCACTGTACGCGGTTGCGCCCCTGCAGTTCGATACTAGGGTCAACATCCCCGATATTGAGGGCTTCGCTTCTGCACTTCAAACAGTGCACTGCAAGATAAATAACACACAAATATATTTCCAACAGGACTAATGTAGTAGCGGAAGCGTTTTAATGAAGAGTTGTGAACCACCTTGCTCTAGTATGTGAGGGCAAAGTAAGTTGATTAAAGCAAAGAGATACAGGATTATATAAGGGTACAAGGAATATAAAGAGATACAGTTATAACTACTTTACTATTGCTGTTGCGGTTCGATACAGTGACGACTCGGGCAACTGCTCTGGAGCGAGTCAGTTGTGTGTCCTTGCTGTTGCGCTGTACTTGTCAGGTCAAAGGTCGCTGACCTTTGACTTTCGCGTAACCTCAAGCAGTTACTTCAACCTCCGAGGGTTGACTCGCTGGTGCCTCGATATGCTTCGCTTCGCTTGTGTCTTAGTGTTTCGACACGACAGAGGCGCTTAAGTTTGATTGTTTCCAACGGTATGGACATCTCCAGAACCAATTAATTGTTGCGGTGGCGACCGTGGGGGTTCTGCTGGACTGGGAGATTTGCTTGAGTGGATTTCTTTCTTTTGTTCACGCACTGAAAATCTGTGGGGATGCATGCGATTTGGGAAAGTCTCGTGAAGGTGAATTCATGTGGTGGGTTTTCCTCCTGCCCGAGTGTAGCCTTGTGGTGTGCAAATGGGGAATACCACAGCAGTGGTTTCAAATAATGCATGGATCCAGTTATCCAGTGGACCTTTGAGGTTCTCTGAATGTGCAGCAGGTGTGGAAAGTGCACCCTAGTTCAGATTCAAAACTTTTGAAGCCCCCCACCCTCATCACAAATGTGGACCCTAAGCATGACGACGTGGAATAAAATCAAGATATATTTTAATGCCCCACAATAAGGGACAATCCATTAACATTATCAGGACAGCGCTCAAATGGTAAATTTGGATCCGATCTGTTATACGACTCTGCATCCCCAATAACCTCCCCACTGGGACACTTGAACCCATGCGGAGGGTGCTGGAAGCAAGGCTCGAGTGGCATCTGTTGGCAGCTAGCCGCGACAAAGAAAGACGGGCGGCCGAAGAGAGAAGAGAGGAGATAACCAAAGGTGGAGGCAGGGGAGGTGAGAATGATATCCGAGCCTAAGGCAAGGGAGTAAATATCCACTAATGCATGCTCTAACTCGGCGTCCAGACCCGATTGCGAAACTTCTGTAGTGATTCGATCCAAAGCGAGGGTTGCGTTGCGGATGATATTGCTTTCAGTGATGTTGGCGCTGCTGCTTGTGGGATCGATGGGTGAGAAACTGGTGGCTAGAGGAGTAACTAAACTGGTCGTGGTGGTCCCGCTGCTGCTGCTGGTGGCCATGGTGCTGCTGGTAGTGGTGTTGAGAGCGGTGCTGTTGCTGTCAAGAGTGGTGTTGTTGATGTTGTCAGAGGAAACCGTATTGGTGGCACTGAGGGTTGGATTGGCCGTCTCGGTACTGTTTTCACCGCCTGGAGTTGTTGCGATGCCATTGCTGCTGCTGTTGCTGCTGCTAATGCTAACACCTCCTGTGACTGTAGCTTTACTGTAAGAGAGTTTTGCTGAGGTGACATTGGGAAAGAGTACCTGGGAAAGATTGAACGGCGCGTATTGATTCAGACTCGCGATCAGAATAACCGTTGTGCCCCTTGCTGCATCGACATCCGTGATGTTGCTGCCTGTGCTGCTGTCACTGCTGCCTGCACTGCTGCTGGCCCCACCGACAACAGTCCCACTCCCACCAGATAACCCCCCCAGGCCGTCCCTTCCTTCTCCTCCGTTCCCCACACCACCTGCCTCCACCCCAGCTCCCCCAGTTACCACCCCAACAGCCCCACCTCCCCCAGTCCCCCCTCCCCCAGCAGCATCCGCCCCCGCACCCCCTGCACCTCCCGCCGCTCCATTCTTCGCCCGAGCCTCCACAAGCACGGGGTGCTGCTGCAGGCGGGTGATACACATGACCGCATGGCGCATGGCTAGCTCCGAAGCATGCCGGAACTGCAGCCCGATGCGAGCGCCCGCCGGGAGCGCGCGGGCTCGGATATTCTCCGTCACTGCCGCCCAGATTGAATTCTTTGGGAACATGATGAGCTGCGAGACAGTTTGGAAGATGCGGCCGGAGGGGAAGAGGTCGTTGAGGTGGCGGCGGAAGGAGGGCACGTGGAGGAGCGCCGGGAGGAAGTATTGGTTGGAGAGGAGGATGAGCGAGGGGATGGTGGCCAGGAAGGCTTGCTCTGACTCGCAGAAAAAGAGGGAAGTGTTTGGCGTGTTGTGGTATATGGGGATGTTGGCTCTGGAAGGGGGAGGGGGCGGGGGCGGGGAGAGGGTGTGGGGGTTGGATTTTGAGGCGCCTCAAAATACACCTCAGTGCATATGGGGATGTTGGCTCTGGAGGGGGAGGGGGCGGGGAGAGGGTGTGGGGGTTGGATGGGAGTTGGAGCGGGGTTTGGAGTGGTGGGGAGCATGCTGAAGACACAGGAGCGGGGATGTTGATTGCACAAGAGTGGACTGTTAAGGTGTTGAAAGAGCGGAGAGTGACTGGCCTCTGGAAGAGATACACATTTAACCATGGAAAAAGCGGAGACTGGACGCTGCCACTGCCACTACCACTGCCACTGCCACTGCCACTCCCATAGGAAAACAACCACCACTCGAACTTACATGGTCGGGGCGGGCATGGTGCCATTCGTGCCACTGGTACCATTAACCAGCACATCCAACCGCTCTGGAAAGAACTGCATCCCTTTGCGCGCCACCACGGACGAAAGGTAAAGGTCCACGGACTGCATACTCCCATTGAACAGATGCCACCGCTCGCCCATGCCCTCAAACGGCGGGCACATCACCTTCCCCGGCCCCATATCCGTGTATAGAAGGAAGATTCGGTTGGTTAGGAGCGCGTAGACGAAGGAGGAGACGAAGGAGATGTATTGGTTGCCTTGGCCGTCGCCTAGTTTCATGTGCCACAAGAGATAGCGGCAGTCCGTCGCGTTACCGGCTAGCAGCTTCGCCTTGACGGTTTCGACGGTTTCGCGGCTGCTGCACGCGCGGAGGTACTCGTGGTACGCGTGGATTTTGCGCTTGAGCGCGGGGGAGCGCTCGGGCGTCCCCCGCGCGCCCGCGTAGCAGGGTAGCTCCGCGCGGCTCCAGCAGGCGCCCTCCGCGCGCTGGTAGCGGGAAGGGGAGAGGGGCGTCGCGGGGGAGGGAGAGAAGGAGGAGGCGGAGAGAATGGCAGGGTCGCATTCTGCGGAAGGAAGGGGCGGGGGGCGGGGAGGGAAGGCGAAGGGAGGGGAGGGGAGGGAAAGGGAGAGGAGGGGTCGAGGGAGATATGGCGGGCGAATAATAAGGGTGGGGGGGGGGGGAGAAGGGGGGGGGGGGGGGGGGGGGGGGGGGGGGGGGAGGAAGGGGAATAGCAGTAAGTAGCTCGCATGCGGGGAAGAAAGTAATGCATTGCTCTAGGAGCTCAAATTTGTCACAATAATGCAAGTTACCATGGAGCGTGGGAGTATTGGTGGTGGCTATAACAAGCAGCGCATCCTCCCCTAGCAGCGCTACTAGGCCAACCACAAGCGGCAGCGCGGAGAGAACGCGCGCGCGCCACGCGCCGCACCACCGCGGGTCCATGGGGGACCTGCGGGGTGCGCCCGTTGCGGGCGCGCGAAGGGAGGCGAGCGCGGTGAAACGCGCGAGGAAGAAACGCGCGAGGGGAGGAGCGCGAGGAGGGGAGACGCGCGGATGGCGGAGCGGAGGTGGGAGCGCAAGAGGACCACCCCCTAGTCGTAACGATCTCGTGATCCGGATCGCGGAAGGATATTTCGACAGCGAGTCCCCAAACTGGGAGCCGATGGGGAATCGCGGATCGGAACCGAGAAAGTCGGACGCCAACTTCTGAGCTCGATTCGATCTTGCTCGGGTGGTCAGACTATGTCGATTCTGCTTTCACAGGTAAACGTCGACCGCCGCCGATGCATGGACAGAGGGACACGGACTGTTGTGCCGCACCGTTAGCAATTGTGGATAAACTAGTACGGCGAGTCTGGTGAGTGTAGCCGGCGAGGGTTGGGATAATCGCCTGCGCGGTCGCATTGAAGCGGAAGCTCGCCGCGAGCTCGCGAGGATGAATGGTGTTGTTCGTGTGCGGTGATGGGATAGCGACACAGGCGTTGCGAGTTCTCATTCCGTCTCAACTGTACTGGTGTATAGTTCAGCTGAGGCGTGCCACATGAGTTCCCTCGATGCGGTGCGGTCAGGTTCTCTCTGTTTCAAAGTGGCTGTTAACCATTGTAGAACGTTTGGGTAGTATTCGAGCAGAAATATGAGCGCGGGTGCGGGACGGTGCATTTGGAGACGGACTGGATGTGTGTAGGTGCGCGCATGATAGCTGATTCCAGGTGGGTGGGTGATTGTTGATATATGAAGTATACATCGCTGTTATACAAGGATGACATCAATTGAAGCATTATGTTATAGAGAATATGCACAATATTGTTCACTGGGGATGCGGAAGGTGTATTCGCGGATGGCATCTATTTCTGTTGTTAGACGTCCAAGATGGCTGCACGAGGTGTTGGCTCCGCAACAGTCAGACAGCAAAGACCTGTTGGCGCGCGGCTCTGAATGCTCGCATGATGTAACATGGAAGGTTAGAATCTATGAAGGAATACGCCTTACTGCCCAAAAGCAAACAGAAGGCACGTCGCCATTGACCGGGCAACCGCATCTGGACCTCGTTTGAACGACTTCAGGTACGTCTGAGCCAGCGGAATTCTGCGTTCCCTAGGTGCGGGGGGCGTCGCCGCTGCACGGAATGTACCGATTTCGAGGTCTGCCTCTGCTTCGGCCCGAAAGAACTTGCTGGTCTGGATGTTGCTGTCTCGGTATTTTTCAAAGCCACCCCAGGTTTAGGCTCGAAGGCGCTTGGCTCGGATTCTTGTGAAAAGCTTTGGCTGGTTCGTTCAAGCCAAACCTAGGTTCTAGTCTGTATTTCGAGCCAAACGTTCTCCCAAGCTGCACCTATGGCGTGCTTCCTAGCCTACAGCTGGCGCCCTACCCTAGCCTGACTGGCTGGTGTTGCTATGGAACTGCTCTTGGCTACGTTGGTGTGGTGCTGCCTCTCTCCTCTCCATCCATGCTGGGGATTTCAATTTTCAACCCTCCCTCAAAAGCAAGCTGCATTGTGCTTTCCATCCTTTCATTCTGCTGCTAGAAGAGATTGACGTCTTTATGTTAGTCCACGGCGCACACGTGGGGGATTCTTTCATAGAACATCTATTGAGTCCGCGTGCGTTCTAAGAGACTCTTCATTAGGTAGACTTCCAGTCTCAGTCATGGCGTAGTTCGAGCAGCCTTCAGTAGTGCTTTATGATATTAATACTTCCCTGGTCTCCTCACACCTCTTCCTTACACAACCGTAACACGGTTACTCCTCAATACGCGCTTCGGTTTAAACCTTTATCCGTCTCCACTCAAAGCAACCAGACTACAAAATGGGTATACAAATTACGACATCACACGTGTGAAAAGCGTTTCAGCTTTTATTACGGTAGTATCTAGGCAGCGTTGCAACTTCTCCTACGTCGACCAGAAGAGCCACATGGCTCTTCTGGAGCATTTGAAGGTCGACCCCGGCAGTATTCGCTTCCAGTGTAAGCGATTTTTGTCTACCCTACCCTGCATGTTTAAATTTGAAGGAACTACGGCGACAATGTTTCTGCGACATACGCTGGAAAAGCGAAAGAGTTAACGGGAAAACTGCACATTCACGCGGCAGTAACATATGGTAATAACTCCGAAGTGCGAGCGTGGGTTAACGTGCTCTATTGCTCGATCGCGATTGTTCCTTAGCGGTTAATACTATATGTGCAGCTGCTTCTGCTAGAACTACTGCAGGTGAGCCGGCTAGCATCCCTTCTCTTGCCATGCTGTAACTCTTCCTCCTGCTGCGTCAGCCAAAGCTCCGTGCTCTTAATGTACTGTAGATCCTCATGATTGCACAGTTGGGATGCACTGTCTTAGACAGTGTGGTGTGGTGAACCATGTTATTACGCAGCTGTCTCATATCTTTCCCATTTTCCAATTTTCCTCCTCCAACCCCCGTTCCGTTCCCCTCGACCTCCCCTTTCCCTTCCCCTTCCCCTTCCCCTTCCACCTCCCCTTCACGTGGGAGGTGCGCAGTCGACGTGGGTCAGGAGCTTCGCAGTACCCTTCGCTTCACCAACTTCAGCGACCAAACGCTGGTCATTAGGGTGAGTCAGGTCGCTAGGTAGGGTAAGTCAATGCGGATCGTCTAGATGAGTCAGGGCCGGTTGTTAGGTTGAATCAAGTCGTTAGGTAGGGTGAGTCAACGGTGGTCGTCAGGGTGAGTCAACGGTGGGCTCCAGGGTGAGTCAACGGTGGTCGTCAGCGCGAGTCAACGCTGGTCGTCAGGGTGATCCTACACCGCTCGTTAGGGTCAATGCACCACAGCCACCGCAGAAGTCTAGTCGAGGCGGCTGGCAGCTCACCCCAGGCACTTCTCGCGCGTACACCGCCATAGTGCCTTATGAGTCACCTCTGAAGTAAACTTACCCCGCTTCGCCTTTTATCCTCGCCATGGCTGGCAGCTCACCCCGGGCACTGCACGCGCGTACACCATCGTGGATGGCGGCATGCTGCTGCTGCCGCCCAACAGCCTGGAAGAGAAGTCAGGTAGGGAGCGGCCGGAGAGTGAATGCGGGGGGTGGATGAAGGGGGGAGGAAATGGGGATTACTGGGGGGAAGAGAGGGCAGTGAAGGAGGGAACTGAGTGGAGAAGGGGGAGAGAGTGAGGAGGAGGAAGAGGAGGAAGTGTGAGGGGGATTGTGGGAGGAAGGACAGTGCACAGCAGTGCAAAGTGTGGTCGGACTATGCATGAGTGGTGCGTTGTATCGTAGCCTTGCCAGATTCAACATGACAAATGCACCAGGTTATATACAGGCAAGGGCTCGGAGCGCGGCTACGTAGGCTATCCTGCTCAAGCAAGGGCCTGAACAGCTCCAGCCTACAGATGCATCTCGTCTACTCGTGCCCCTCTTCTACACCTCCCCCACCCCCCCTCCCCTCCGGCCCGCCTCACTCCGCCGCCTCCCCGCTCCGTGTGCTCCTTGTGCGTTGCTATCTCGTCGTGCTGCTGCCAGTGCTGTGTGCAGCGTTTGACAAGAAGCCGTTCTGGTTCCCTGCAGACTTCTTCACTCTCGAATGCTTCCTTGCTAACTCCATTCAAGAGGTCCGTCTTCGACCTTATTTCCCTCCCCCTCGTCCTTCCAGTCCTCCCTAGCTTAATACAGTCAAGAAGCTCACGTTCATCCTTCTCTTCCCCACCCCTCCATCTCAGCACCTCCCTCACTCCAGCCTAGTCCCGTTCCCCCTCCCCCTCTCTTCCCTCCCTTCCCCCCCATCCCCCCACTTCCAACTGCTCGGCTACCCGACAGCAATCCTTACTCCTCTCTGTACTTCGTACCTTGCATCTGTTCACTTCACCTCCCTCTTCTTCGTCTTCCTGATCTGTTCTTCACTTTTCATCCTATCTCTTATTCTCTCTCTCCCTGCATCAACCTCTCCCTTTCCCCTCGTTCTCCCCTCCCTCCCCCCTCGACCTACACCCCCTCCCCTTCTCCCCTCCCCCCCCCCACGGTCCCCCTTTTCTCCCTCTCTCCCCGCCCCTTCTCTCTCCCTGCGCCGCAGGTGGAGCTAGGTCGCGATGTGGTGCCCATAGGCCGTCGCCAGCTGCAAGTGGCCTTCAACGAACGGCCAGGAGGCAACTCCATGCCCGCACTTTTCAGTAACGTGAGATTGCCACACACCTCACTCACCTCACTCACATCCCACCCGCCTTTGCTGAGCCGCCTAAGGAAGCCACAGCAACACGAAAAGAGCGCCACACACGTCTCACCTGACTGTAAACAGTTCACAATATGTCGAGACGAAGCTAGGGTCAACAGGAGTAAGAGCGATATCTCAGTTCGACCTGCATGCCCTCCCCCTATGTAATGTAACGTATGGTCATTTCAGCCAATGCTGTACCTAACAGACTAAGAAGTTACCATCCGTTTCAGGCCAAGAACGGGCAAAGAAACCTAAATGCCACCTGCAAAGACACAGACAAAAAAACGGAAGACCTCTTTGGTTTCTCCTCGGTTCGGGGGAAAACTTATTCCGCTTCCAACCCTTCCCTTCAGTTCCACACTATCTGTTGTAACCCCTCCCTCCCCATCGCCCCTTCCCGTTTCTCGGTTCCCTTCCCTCCCACTTCCACTTCCCCACCCTTCCCCCACTCCTTTCCCCCCCCGGTCGCCCCCACGCCCTCCCAGCAGTCGCAGTCGGGTCACATGCGTGCCTTGGGTCTGCCTGGCGCCTTCTCTGCTGATGATCGCGCACAGGTGAGAGACAAGGGTGACTTTTGAGGCGCCTCAAAAGTCGTCTCAGTCGGGTCACATGCGTGCCTTGGGTCTGCCTGGCGCCTTCTCTGCTGATGATCGCGCACAGGTGAGAGACAAGGGTGACTTTTGAGGCGCCTCAAAAGTCGTCTCAGTCGGGTCACATGCGTGCCTTGGGTCTGCCTGGCGCCTTCTCTGCTGATGATCGCGCACAGGTGAGAGACAAGGGTGACTTTTGAGGCGCCTCAAAAGTCGTCTCAGTCGGGTCACATGCGTGCCTTAGGTCTGCCTGGCGCCTTCTCTGCTAATGATCGTGCGCAGGTGAGAGACAAGGGTGCTGTGCGCATATGCAAACGGGAGAAGGAGAGGGAGATAGAAGGTGGTGGGGAGAGCAGAGGGAGGATACGTGCAGAGCAGATGCGTGAGGCTGTCATTCAGCTCCCGTTGCTCCCTGTTCAGTTGCAAGTATCTCGTCTCGAACTTGGAACTGGGAACGTCCCTTCCTCCTCCTCCCCTTCCCCCGCCCCCTCTTTTCCTCCTCTCGTTCCTCTCTTGGGAGGCGATGAAGCAGACGCTGAAGGAGAGCCAGGAGAAGCTGACGGCCCGTCTTTCTCTCTCAAATCATCTTCTCCCCCCCTCTTCTTCCGCCCCCTTCCCCCTCTTCGCCAGCACCTCCCCCCCCCCTTTCTTCAAGGCGGAGATGTACGAGGCGATGAAGCAGACACTCAAGAAGAGCCAGGAGAAGCTGACGGCCCTCTCTATCCCTCCCCTCATCTTCTCCCCCGTGCCCTCAAACCCCCCTCTCCTCCCCCCACCCCCACCCCCTCTCCTTCCTCCTCTCCGTCACCCTCTCCTTTCCCCTTCCTCTCTCACTCCCTCAAGGCGGAGGTGTACGAGGCGATGAAGCAGACGCTGAAGGAGAGCCAGGAGAAGCTGATGGAGCGCGACGACACGATCCGCGCGCTCAGGGAGGTGCTGGCGGCGCTGGGTCCCAAGCTCAAAGCGCGGGAGGACGAGCTGGAGGAGTATGAGGTGCACGTGTGCGAGCTCAAGCAGCGGCTGCTCATGGTGCGTTGAGAGGGAGAAAGTCGGGTTGGAGGAACTCAGGGTGAGGGGGGTTGGGAGTGGGGGTGGTTCTGGGAGTGGAGGAGTTGGAGGAGTATGAGGTGCACGTGTGCAAGCTCAAGCAATGGCTGCTCTTGGTGGGTTGGGTTGGGAAGGAAAAGGAGAGGGTGGGGTTGGATGTGGGTGGAGTGGGGGTTGCTGGGGCCTGAACTCAAAACGAGGGAGGACGACCTGGGATGGGAGGCGTGTATGAGGTGCACGTGTGTGAGGTGCACGTGTGTGAGGTGCACGTGTGTGAGGTGCACGTGTGTGAGGTGCACGTGTGTGAGGTGCACGTGTGTGAGGTGCACGTGTGTGAGGTGCACGTGTGTGAGGTGCACGTGTGTGAGGTGCACGTGTGTGAGGTGCACGTGTGTGAGGTGCACGTGTGTGAGGTGCACGTGTGTGAGGTGCACGTGTGTGAGGTGCACGTGTGTGAGGTGCACGTGTGTGAGGTGCACGTGTGTGAGGTGCACGTGTGTGAGGTGCACGTGTGTGAGGTGCACGTGTGTGAGGTGCACGTGTGTGAGGTGCACGTGTGTGAGGTGCACGTGTGTGAGGTGCACGTGTGTGAGGTGCACGTGTGTGAGGTGCACGTGTGTGAGGTGCACGTGTGTGAGGTGCACGTGTGTGAGGTGCACGTGTGTGAGGTGCACGTGTGTGAGGTGCACGTGTGTGAGGTGCACGTGTGTGAGGTGCACGTGTGTGAGGTGCACGTGTGTGAGGTGCACGTGTGTGAGGTGCACGTGTGTGAGGTGCACGTGTGTGAGGTGCACGTGTGTGAGGTGCACGTGTGTGAGGTGCACGTGTGTGAGGTGCACGTGTGTGAGGTGCACGTGTGTGAGGTGCACGTGTGTGAGGTGCACGTGTGTGAGGTGCACGTGTGTGAGGTGCACGTGTGTGAGGTGCACGTGTGTGAGGTGCACGTGTGTGAGGTGCACGTGTGTGAGGTGCACGTGTGTGAGGTGCACGTGTGTGAGGTGCACGTGTGTGAGGTGCACGTGTGTGAGGTGCACGTGTGTGAGGTGCACGTGTGTGAGGTGCACGTGTGTGAGGTGCACGTGTGTGAGGTGCACGTGTGTGAGGTGCACGTGTGTGAGGTGCACGTGTGTGAGGTGCACGTGTGTGAGGTGCACGTGTGTGAGGTGCACGTGTGTGAGGTGCACGTGTGTGAGGTGCACGTGTGTGAGTTCAAGCAGCGGCTGCTCGTGGTGTGTGGAGACCGGGTGGGGTTGGGGTGGGAATGGGGAGTTGATGCTGACGGCATGCTGGTGATGGGATCGTGGACCTTGGATCTTGTGATGTCTTTTGAAATGCAGGAGGAGGCGGCTTCAATGCAGCTACTACCACTGCTTTCCAGCAGTGTTAGCACCTCCTGTTGTTCTTCTGTTGACTGCTCCTTCTTCCCATCCCCCGTCTGTCTGTCTGTCGCTCCTTCCTTCTGCCATCTTGCAATGCACGTCCAATGGAGCAGGCTGAGAAGAAGGTGAACGAGCTACAAACCGCTCTGGTGAGTCTGTGCGCTTTGGGACGTCTCAGAACGAAGCATAACATGTAGCTGTTGATGCTCTTTTGGTGAGCTCACTTTGTATTGGGGTTGTTGTTCCTTCACCTTTCTCATCAGACCCATCCTTGTCAGCCTGAGCCACTCAAGATACGTCTCAACACTAGAAAGAACGTTGTTGTGTTCCTTTCTGCTCTCTTTCTCACTCTCCCTTTCTCCTCTCTTGCGCTTCTTTCCTTCCCTTCTCGTTGTGTTCCTTGCTTGCTCTTTGTGTTCTGCAGGCTATGACGCCCGATAGAATGGTGAGTTGCAAGAACCAGGGAACCGCCTTTGGCCCTTAGTCCTGTGTGTGGTATTTGCAAAGAGGTCTGATTTGTTTCGTCCAGCAGAGTGGATATAGCATGCAAGGGGCTGCAGCTGTAGCATGATCCAGCAGCTCCTATGCGCTCTGTCCTGTTCCATAGGAATATAATTCCTCAAGTCTCTTTCTTTTTCTGATTCTGTTCCATCACCCCCCCATTTCCCCACCCCCCCACCCCCTCCCCTCCTCCCGCCCCCACCCCCCCTCCCTCCCTCCCTCCCTTCCTTCCATTCATGCGCTGCTTTCACACCCGTTTTTACGTTCTTAATTCTCCTCTATTCGCTTAACTCCCTCTATTGTTTCTTAAACCTGTCACTCATTTTTCTACTCTCCTCTCTCCTGCCCCCTCTTTCCATCCGTCCCCTGCCTCTCCCACCCCTTGTCCCTCGCCTGGACCCTGCCCCTCGCTCGGTGCCTGTCGCCCCTCACCTCTCGCCCCTGGCCCCCTTCCCTCGCCCCACGCACAGAAGGCGGCACTGGAGGAGGCGGGGGAGAGGGAGGCGTCGTTGGAGGGCAAGTGCCGCATGCTGGAGGGCGAGTGCGAGAGGAGCCGCGCTGCCATCCTCGCTGCCCAGCAGCAGGCCGACTCCCTCACTCGCACCCTGGTAGGGCGAGGGGCGCGACGCGAGAGGAGGTGGAGGAAAGGGGAAGGGAGGGGAGGGGTGGATTGTGGGGATGGATTTGGATGAGTTAGCCTGGACAGTGGAGGAAACAGGGGGAGGCAGGACGGAGGGGGTAGAGGGGTGGAGGTGGAGTGGAGTTGAGTGGAATGTATGCTGACTTCACATGCTGGCAGCGCTTGCATTCGCGTGTTCACTCGCTCATACTGCATTGGACATGGAGTGGAGAGGGCATGTCCAATGCCTATCAGTCCTTGCTGCTCTACATGCATTGTGGTCCTTGTGTCGTGTGTATGAGCAGAGAGTGATGGAGATTGAGAAGCTTAAGGCAGACAGGGAGCGCTCCCAACAGGTCAGCCCACCCCACGTTGTCTCTCTTTGACGCACTTCTCCCCTCCCTCCACTCGTTCTCTTCCTGTTCTTCACTTTCCTCTCCCTTCCTGTCGAAATCACCCCGCCCCTTCCCTCACTTCCTGCCCTCGTCTACCAAGCCTCACGCATCACTCTACATCTTAACACCCATGTGCTATAAACAATGTTCTCGCCGAAACATCTGGCTTTCAAACTCAAGCACGGCATGAGTGTGTCCCCTGCAACCCACCCTTCCACTCTTCTCCCTCTCCTCGTTCCCCCCTTCCCCCCGAACCCCTCCCCTCAAACCACCCCAACCCCTGTCGACACACGCACGCTTCTCCACCCCTCTCTTCCCCTTTGGCAGGTGTGCAGTGTGAGGGAAGGAGGGCGGAGGTGGAGTTGGAGCACGAGATAGCTCGTCTCAAGGACGCCCGGTGGGTGTCCCCTCCAACCCCGGCCTTTCTTACCCCCTCCCCCTCTTCCCACCGCCCCTCTTCCGCCCGCCCCTCTCCCCCCCCCCCCCCCCCCCCCCTTTGGCAGGTGCGCAGTGTGAGGGTGGAGAAGGTGGAGTTGGAGCACGAGATAGCGCGTCTCAAGGATGCCCCGTGGGTGTGCCCTGCTCTCCTACCCCTTCTTACCCCTCCCTTCCCCCCCCCCCCCCCCGTTCCCCCTTTTCACCTGGCAGGTGCGCAGTGTGCGTGCGGAGAAGGTGGAGTTGGAGCACGAGATAGCTCGTCTCAAGGACGCCCTCAAAGCAGCAGGCGGCCACCTCTCCTCCCCAGACAGGCCCGAACCCCCCCGCCGCCGCCTCTCCTCCCAGGTGCGTCCGAACCTCTCCTTCCCAACCCCCATTCCCCCCTCTCCGTTTCCACCCCACCCCCACCCCCCCTCCCCCCCTCGCCTGTCCTTTCCCATCTGTGAGGGCTGTGAAAACACTGCCAGTCTGCTTTAGCGAATCACGTTGCTGCATTTGTTGTCAAGGAGAGCCGCGTTTGTCCAGGAGAAGCACGTGCATTGCATTTTGCTGTTGTGATGTTCTCATTCTCGTGCCCCATTGCACTCTCCAAATTCTATCGTTGCCACACTTCCCCCTTTCATTCCCCCTCCCACACTCCCCAACTCCTCTGACTGATGATCTGTTTCCGCATTGTCACCTCCCTTTGCCTCCCTTCCCCCTCGCCCCTTCCATCCCTTGGCCGCCCCCCTCCCGTCTCCCCTCCTCCCATCCCTTCCCCAAATCCCCCCTCCCATTTCTTGACCACTCTCCGCCTCTCCAGCTCTCCCCCCACGTCCCTAGCCGCCCCGGCTTTCCCTCATCTGCGTCTCTCTCATCAGCAGACACACCTGACAGGGAGGGTCGTAGGTCCTTCACACGCTCCTCTAGCCGCAGCAGCCAGGATCTAGAGGGCCGGGAGGGGCTGGGGAGTGTGGACGAGTCGAGCCAAGGCGACCGGGATGAGATGTTTGAGACGCGATCAGTGGAGAGTGTGGAGGAGGGGAGTGAGAGGGGAGGGGGGAGGAGAGGGGAGCGGGGACTGGAGGAGATGGTGGGAGCGGACGGGGAGATTGCGGAAGGCGGTGCAAGCAGCAAAGAGGTATGGGATGCGCTTGGTTTTGCTGCCCTTTGGCCTGACCTTTTTCTGAACTCGGTACAATGCGTTTTTTGCATGTGTATATGTGTACATGTGTGTGCGTGTGTGTGTATATTGATGGGGGGGGGGGGGGGGGGGGGGGGGGGGGGGGGGGGGGGCTTGGGCGAAGGAGAGTTGCATGGGTATGTGGGTGCATGCATGCATGCATAGGAGAGTGTCTCTGAGGCGTGCCCTGCTGCATCCCTATTTGACTTGACACATATCAAAGGTTGCATGCATGTGTGTGTGTGTGCGTTGCATGAATGAATTGGAGCGTGTCTGAGACTGAAGCTGTCCCGGTCCGATGCATCCCTTTCCTCTCTTACTCCGCTTACACCCCTGCATCTACCCCCCACTGCCCTCTCTTCCCAGCTGTGTGTGTGTGCGTGGTCGCCTAGCTGTTTGCATCTCTGGAAACACATTCTCAAAAGCCTATTACCCTCATGATGTGCCTTACTGTCCTTCCCCCTCTCCCCCACCCTCCCCCCCCCCCCCTCCTCCTTCGCATCTGCGCGTGTGCGTTTCTAACTGTTTCAGCTATTGGCGCTGTTGGAGGGCGAGCGTGCGAGGGCAGCAGCAGGGGAGCGGCGGCTGAGGCAGTTGCAGGAGGAGATGAGCCAGCTACAGACAGACCTGGTCCGATGGCAGCAGGTGTGTGTATGTGTGAGCGCGTGCGTGCGCGCGCATGTGTGCATGTGTGAGTGTGTTTGCACACATACTGAACATAATCTCGTGTGTGCGCTTGTGTGTGGGCTGTGCATGGGTGTTGAGAAGAGATGTTACCGTAGGAAGAAGAACGTAACAGAAAATCTAGGCTTAGGATTTGAGAAAAAGCTGGGCACCAGAGAGTGAATGAGAGGAGGTTAGGGAGTGGAGCGAACGAGTGAAAAACAGCTTGCATTCTTCGGCCGCGACGTAACCAGAAGGGCAGCGGCAACTCGAGATGGTCTCAAGACGTCTCAAACCCTTTCCCATCCCTCTCACTTGTCCCTCCCCTCTCTACATCTTTTCCCTCTCCACACTCTCCCTCCCGTCCGCGCCCTTGCTCCATCCGCAGGCGGCGAGGGAGGGCGAGGAGGGGCGGCAGCAGGCGGTGGCATGGCAGCAGCGGTGCACAATGGTGCAGGAGGAGCTGCAGCAGCGCCGCAGCGAGGCAGGTTTCCTCAGGGGCGAGGTCTCCCGCCTGCGCACGCTGCTGCAGGTGGGTTGGAAGGGTCCGTTTTGGTCTGTAGAGGTTTGTTTGAGTCATGTGTTTGTGATGATTCAAACATGAAAAAATGCGAGGCAGGTTTCCTCAGGGGCGAGGTCACCCGCCTTCGCATGCTGCTGCTGCAGGTGGGTTGGGTCAGGGGAGCCGTTGGGGTCTGAGGATGTTTTCTCTTACTCAGCAACGACATAAGATAAAGAAGATGAGTAAAGCTTTCTCAGGGGGCGAGGTCACCCGCCTCCGCACGCTGCTGCTGCAGGTGGGCTGTGGCGGAGGAGAGCTGCTGGACCTGTCTGTTCTGTAGATGCTTTTCTGAGTGCAACTTAGAATGAAAAGCGAGCAAGGTAGGCTTTCACAGAGGAGGAGAGGTCACTCGCCTCCGCACGCTGATGCAGGTGGTTAGGAGGTGGGAGCTGGTGGAGTTGGAGTCTTTGTGTAGGTTCTTTCTTAGTGCCGCCGTCTCCTTCTCATTGCTGGCTTTCCATGTTTCCACCCCGGCTGGTTGTTTGCGTGTGCGTGCAAGCGCGCGCGCGCGCGCTCGTGCCTGTCTGTGTAACAGGAGCGGGCGAAATCAGGAGTATCATCACCTAGCGCAGCAGCAGCGGGAGCGGCAGCAGCGGCGGCAGCCACACCAGAATCAGCAGCAGCGACTGCTGGTGAAGCAGGGCTTGCGGAAACCCAAGGTCAACCACTTGACACCGGGCGAGAAGTAGGATCCACGACAGCAGGGGGAAGCAATGGAGACAACCATGGGGAAGCGGGAACGCAGGGAGAGGCGGGACAGGGATGGGCAGAGACACAGGTAACTTCTTCAGCAGGGACTGTCTGTGCGGATGGGTCAACGAGCTTCCCAGGTGCTTCTACTAGTAGCAGCCATGTCATGGAAAGTGGGTTGGGGGAGGCGGGCGAGGGCGGTGGGGACAGGGGCGGAGACGGTGGCGAATGGAGAGAGGGGGATTTGGACAAAGGAGCAGGCGTAGGAGGGGGTGTAGGAGCAGGGGTAGGAGGTTCAGGGAGACGTGAGCATGAAGGGGTGGGAGAGGCAGACAGGGAGCGAGGGGAGGGGGTTGGGAGGGAGGATAGGGCAGTGTCTGGTGCAGGAAGCGTGGAGGGTGGGAGGGCAGAACGGGATGGACATGCTGGCGGTTTTAGGAATGGAGGCGAGGCAACGGCAGCAGCAGCAGGAGGAGCAGTAGCAGCAGGAGGGGTGTGTGAGAGGTGTGGGAGGGGGAATAACGTGGGGATTGGACCGTCCAGGAGCCATGATGCAGAGGAGGCTGCTATGCTGAGATTCGAGGTCAGCTCACACTCTCACCTTGTGTCCTTGCCTTGCCTCCTCACCTTGCCTCCACACCTTACCTCCTTGCCACGTCTCCTTGGGTTGTATTGTCAGCTCATCACTCAACACCATCTCCGTTCTGTGCCCACCTTCGTCCCCATGCTCACTTGACACTGTGTGGCTGTTTGCTAATTCGAATCGTTATTTGATTGGACTCAGACGCGTTATTTGATTGAGTCAAGTCAGTTTGACTGGTTGGTGGCTAAAACACGGAGATGAAAATCCAGGGCCGACAGGACAAAAACAGTTGCTGCCTCAGTGCCCCCATCACTGCCAGGTCATCTGTTCACTTCCATGCCTCCTCCACCCCCTCTCCCTTTCCCTCCCCCTTTCCCACCCCCTCTCCCTTTCCCTTTCCCTCCCCCTCCCCCTCCCCCTCTCCCTCCCCCTCTCCCCCCCCCCCCCCCCCTCCGCTTCCGCTTGAGTCCCCCAGGCAGCGTGGCGGATGGAGTCGATGGCAGCAATGGAGGCGGAGCGGAGAGCAACCATCATGTCTGCCCCATGCGTCGTCCCCAATTCAACCCCTCCTCCCCGCAATCCCCCTCCCTCCTCTTGAGTCCCCCAGGCGGCGCGGCTGATGGAGTCGATGGCAGCAATGGAGGCGGAGAGGCAGCAGCTGCGCATAGCGGTTCGCGACCGGGACGAGGTGGTCAGGCGCGTTGAGAGGGACGCGCAGGAGCTCCGATACGCCAACGAGGAGGTGAGCGGCGGGCGGGCGGGCTGTGCTGTGCAGTAATAGCTAGAATCTTGGATGCTCACGAAGAACAAAAGGGAGTGTGTGTGTGTGTGTGTGTGCGAGGCGCGTGGAGAGGGATTCGCACAGGAGCTCAGATACGCAACACGAGGAAAGGAGGTGATGGATGGATGGGCTGTGCAGGAAGATTTAGGGGCTCAGATGCTCACTCGAAGCGAAAGGGAGTGTGCGAAAAGTGCTGAGACAAGTGTTGAGAGGGACGCGCAGGAGGTCAGATACGCCAACGAGGAGGTGAGGGTGGAAGAGCAAGGAGAGCAAGAGAGGAGATTCAGGCTGCGCTAAGGGGAGGGTTAGGATGTGCATAGGGGTGAATAGGAACTGGGGATTTCAGGTGTCTGCTTTAAAATCTGGTGAATAGAAAGAGGAGGGTAAGGAGGGAGAGGGTCTATTCTCAGTCCGGTTCTTTCGCCTGCAACTCTTTCTTACCTCCATTGACCAATTCGTGCCCCACCATGATAATCTGCCTACTTTCTTCTCTCACATTTTCTCCTCGCTTCCTCTGCCGACCGGCTCCTCCCCCCTTCCCCTCCCCCTTCCCCTTCCCCTCCCCTCACCCTCCCCTCCCCACTTTCCCCTTTCCCCTCCCCTTCCCCGCCCACCCCGTTCCCCCCGTTTCTCCCTTCCCCCCCTATCCTCCTCCCTTCCTCCTCTCCCCTCCCTTCCCCTCACCCTTCCTCTCCCCGTCCCCTCTCCCTCTTCCTGATTGCTACGCCAGGCGACCACACAGCTGGCAACGTATCGCCAGCTCATTGACAGCCTCTCCTCCTCCTCGCCGTCTCGCTCCCACCAGGTCTGTTCCCTTCCACACACACCTCCACCTCTCTGCCCTGTGCCCTGTGCCCTGTGGCTGAGCGTCGTGTTCCCACCACCCTTCCTTTCCCGCTCCTCCCCACCATCCGTCCTGCTCCTTCCTCCCCCCTCCCCCCCCCCTCCCCTTCAACCCCCCCACCCCACAGCAGATGCCAGCACATGGGTGTCAAGAGGGAGCGGGTGCAGCAGCGCAAGTCGTGTTCTCCTCCTGAGCCCTTACACCCTCTCGTCCCCTCCCTCTCCCTCTCCCATCCGCCGCCCTTCTCCCCCCATGGCAGCACGTGGATGTCGAGAGGGAGCGGGCGCAGCAGCGCATTCTGCAGCAGCGGGTGGAGCAGCTAGCGCAGCAGGTGCAGGCAGGGAGGCAGGACATGGAGGGGCTCAGGCAGGCGCTCAAGGCGGCCAGGGAGGATGTGGCTGAGAAGGACGTGCGCATCCGGGAGCTCGTGAAGCAGCTGCAGCACTGCGAGGTGCGCTGGTTGGTTGTTGAGCAGTTTGAGGTGCGTTGGTTCTGTGGCTCCACTCAGAGCAACACAGGCAGGCGCTCAAGGCGGCCAGGGAGGATGTGGCTGAGAAGGACGTGCGCATCCGGGAGCTTGTGAAGCAGCTGCAGCACTGCGAGGTGCGTTGCTGGTTCGGCGCTGTGAGGTGCGTTGCTGATGCTGCAGTTTGAGGAGTGTTGGTGTTTTGGATCGACTCCGAGCAACAATGCAGGCAGGCAGGCAGGCGCTCAAGGCCTGCGGATGTAGCAGCTGGTTGAGGTGTTTTGAGACGTCTCAAAACACCTGTTCAATCATGAGGGAGGATGTACATGGAGCTGGGAAGGGCTGCGTATTTGGGAGCTGGTGGAGCAGCTGCAGCACCGCGAGGTGTGTTGGTGCTGCAGCACTTTGTGCAGAGTGAGTTTTAGCTGCTGAAATCTTTCTGAGCCAACTCAAAGAAGCTGCAGCTGCTGGAATTTCTCTTGCGCGTGTGGTCTTGTATCCCTCCGCCCACCCTCTCACCTCCTCCCCCCCACCGGTCCCCCCCCCCACACCCTGGTCCTCCCACTCTCCGCCCTCCCATCTCTTTCAAGTCGTCCCTTTTCCTCTCTCCTTCCCTTTTGAGAATTCTCAGAAGTAACACTCATATGGCTTCCTCTCTTCTTCCCTGTTTAGTTCCGTCTGTCGCTCCCACCCCGGTGGACTTGCTTCCAGGGCCAGAGGACACGACAAAGTAAGACAGCAGAGAAGCAAGCCCACCTCGTTCGTCTCACTCCCGATGAGTGTGGCGTCTCACTCCCGATGAGTGTGGCGTCTCAGCAGCAGACGCTACAGCAGGCTGAGAGGGTTGCGAGAGAGGAGGCGATTCACGTGAAGCAAGCACCCCCTCTGACTTTTGAGTCGATTCAAAAGAGAGCAGGCTGAGAGGGTTGCGAGAGAGGAGGTGATTCAAGTGGAACGAACAACCCCTTTCTTTGAGGGACGCGCGAGAGAAGGACAGAGTAGCTCACCCTTCTCCTTATACAGCGCCATGTTTGCCTTCTCTCTCCCTTCCATCCCTCCCCCCCTCTTCCCCACCCGTCGCCCCCTTCCCTCCCACCTCTTCCCTTCCATCCGCCTCTTCCTTCCCCTCCTCCTCGTCACCTCTCTCCTGCTTCACTCCAGATGAGCGCAGCATCCCAGCAGCAGAAGCTGCAGCAGGCCGTGAGGGCGGCGAGAGAGGAGGTGGAGGAGAAGGAGGATGAGATACAAGTGTTGGTGGATAAAGTCAGAAGCATGGAGCCTCAGGAGGTGGGTCGTTTATTACTGGACTCGAGAAAAGGAGGAGATTGGAGTTTTGCTGGAGCAAGTGGGACGCATGGAGAAGCAGGGGGTGAAGGGGTTGGGGGTGGTGGATAGGAGAAAAAAGGGGTGGATCGGAAGAATGTCTGGTGAGTTGCAAAAGGGTGGATGATTAGACAAGCACATGAAATATGTTCACAAAATGTGGAGTGGGAGAGGGCTTGGCTGGATTGCTGGTATGCTGTGTGTCCTGTCCTGTCCCCCGTTCCCGCCACTTCCCCCATCAACGTCCAAGCCTCCGTTCTCCCTTCAACTCGTTCCCCCAACCATTCCCTCTCCCTCCTCTCCATCTCCCCTCCCTCCATCCCTCCATCCCCACGCCCCTCGCAACCCTCCTTACCCCCACTCCACCCCTCCGCCCTCCCTCGGCCATACCCATCCCCATGCCCCACCCAGGGAGGCGAGGAGCAGGGGCGGGCACAGCAGCAGCAGCAGCAGCAGCAGCAGCAGGCAGAGCAGGAGTGCCACTCATTGCGGCAAGAGAACGAGGCCTTACGGAACGAGATCGAGGGCCTCAGGCAGGAGATTGGGCAGCTAAGGGAGGAGATTGAGGGGTTGAAGGAGGAGGCACAGAGGGTTGGGCAGGAGGGGGAGGAGTTGAGGCAGGCGGTGCAGGGGGCGAGGGAGGAGGTGGGGGAGAAGGAGGAGCGGATCCGTGCGCTGCAGGACAGACTGGAGCGGATTGAGATGCAGGAGGAGGTGAGATGATTATGTTGGTTGTCTGGCTGGGAGAATCTGCATATGGTACCACGTAATATGCTTGGTGGGAGGATTCGTATGTTGAGGCGGCGACGCTTAGGTTTGCTGCAGCTGCTCTCCTCTCTTCGAACCCCTCGTTCCTCCCCCCCTTCCCCTTGGGATTCAGGCCTCTCTTCTCTCTCGTTCTCCTCACCCTCAATCCCTCTATCAACTCCTTCCAACCCCTTTCACTCACTCTATCACCCTTTTCACCCTCTCGGTTGGGCTCTTTCAACCCTTTATTCAACTCCTCTCGCAACGTGCAGAAATCAGATTTGAAGGACATGCTAGCAGCGCCGCAGGCGTCGGTGCGGGACAAGGAGGAAATGTTGCGGTCGTCGAAAGTCCCAAGTCACTTACAACCTGCCACACAACCACCCAACCCACCCACCCTTCTCAACCCTTCTCAACCCCCTCTTAACCTCCCAGGAGTCGGGTCTACAGGACATGCTGGCAGCGCTGCAGGCATCGGTGCGGGACAAGGAGGAGACGTTGCGGTCGCTCAAGACGGCGCTTGCTCTTTCAGACGCTCGCGCCAAGGATGCAGGGTCACAGCTAGAGCCTCTCAAGCTAGAGCTGCAGCAGCTACGCCTGCAAATGGTGCGTGCTGGCCGGCTGAGTGTGTTTGTGTGTGGTTTGAGTCCAAGGTGCACGTGTTGAGGATGCCGGGTCACAGCTCGAGCCTCTCAAACTCGAGCTGCAGCAGCTGCGCCTGCAAATGGTGCATGCCGGCTGGCTGGAGGTGTGTGTGTGTGTGGTTTGAAGCGAGATGACTGTTGAGTCGACTCAATTGCCTTGCATCTGCAATTGGTGGGTATGGTCTGAGCCTTCTGCTCTGCGACTTTTGAGTCGACTCAAAAGTCACCTGGAATGGTCTGAGCCTTCTGCTCTGCGAGGCCCGTGTCTCATCCTTACCCAACCGCAGCGTTTCCTTACTTAAACCCTAAACCCTAAACCCTTGCACCTTGCATATCTATGCATGTGTGTGTGCACATGGTGTGTGGGTGTGTGTATGTATGTGTGTGTGTGTGTGTGTGTATGTGCGTGTGTGTGTGTGTGCGTGGGGGGGGGGGATGAACATATACAGGACGAGCAGCAGGCAGCACGGGAAGAAGAGTTTCGGCTCGTGGCAGCAAGAATGGTCAGTGCAACTAACGACAATGCACAGTTTCCTGTAGCAACAACACACCCTTTACGCTGATCCCAAAAGCTGCAATAGCGACCGTGTCGTTCTGAATGACCTGCTGCCTCTGCTCCCAAATCATGCCTTCCCTGCTCCGTTCTGATGTTCTCACGTACTCTTAAGATTCAGCCATCTCTGCATCTAACCCTTCATGTCGTCCCCACCCCTTTCTCACCCGTCTCCCCTCCTCCATCTCCCTTTCTCCCCCACATGCTCTCCGTACCCGCCGACCTCGTTGCCTCGCTGTGCTGTGCTCATGACAGGGGGAGCGCAATAAGGCTCAAGAGGCAGAGCTGCAGCAGTCAACAGCCGCCATGGTACGCCATGTCATGGCATGGCATGACTTGACAGCGAGCTGATCTTTGCCCTTCAACCTGCTTTGTTATCGGGCTGATTGCCCTCTCTGTGTTCGTTTTGTGTCATGTATGAATGCATGCGTGCCAATTTGTGTGTGTCTCTGCGTGTTGCTCTGCTGTCCGCCACTGCAGGAGGCCCTGAAGGCGCGTCATGAGAGAGAGATGGAGCAGATCAAGAGAGCAATGGTGAGCGGGTTAGAAGAATAATGGGCGAGCTGGTTAGAAAATCTGACACTCAACAAAGCATGCCAGATAACTTGTTTGGCTTAAGGGACAGAAGACGCACTGCAAATCAACTCAGTTTAACGTAACGTAACGTAACTGAACCGAACTGAACTGAACCTCCTCACCCCAATGCCAGCCCGTATCATTGCCACGATCTGGCACATCTGAATGCATGCTTGTGTCAGTCCTCTCACTTTTCCTTCGTTCTCACTGGGTGTGGCGATGCGTGCGCATGTCTATGGGTGTGATTGTATGTGTGTGTGTGTGTGTGTGTGTGTGTGTGCGTGCGCGCGCGCGCGCGCACGCATGCGCGCATGCACGTATATGGGTGTATGTGCATGCATGAGTGCCTGTATGAATGCACAACAGGCAGCAGCCAGGGCAGCACACGAAGCAGAGCTTCAGCAGCTCAAAGACAACACGGTAAGTCGGATAGGCAGTGCAAAGAGACAAGAGTATGTGTGTCCTTGACAAGAGCATGCAAGCTCGATCCTGGTTTGTGGTTCACACAGAACCACTTCACTTGATACTTGAGGCTTTGGATTCCACCAACGCATGTGTTGCCAGGTTCCAACAGTTGTTACCCTACCCTCACTCCTCTCCTCTCACATCCTGTCAAACTTGCGTTGCTCTGTCCTGACCCTGCCGCTGCTCCTCCTCCCCTCCCATGTTCCCCCATCCGCCCGCAATTTCTGAGATTTGTTAAAAATCGTCCACCTCTGCGGGCAGCCAGCATCCCATGGTGCAAATCGGCAGCAGCTCAAGCCTGTGTTGTCCTGTCTTCCCCCCACTCTCTCCCCTCTTCCTTCCCCCTACTCCACTCATTCTCGGACGGCCCGTTTGCTCCCATGCGTGCGCCTCTGCAGGCAGCAGAAGCAGCATCGCAAGGGACGGATCTGCAGCAGCTCAAAGACCAGCTGGTGAGAGGAGACCACGTGCCCTGCCCTCCATGCACATGTTACAATACCCGTCTGTATTTGACAGTCCATACTTGCGTAGACTTAAACAACCTTTTGACTTGTTGTTGCAACGATTTTATTCACCGGCATGTTGCATCCCTCAACCCCAACCGGCAATTCGAAATCTCAACCCTAAGTGAATGCGATGGCTGCTGGTGCATGCAGGAGTCCTCCAAGGCAGCGCACGAGGCAGAGCTCCGTCAACTGCTCGATGAAATGGTCAGTGAATCACGTCTTATCGCTGGGTTGCATGTGGTCACTGGGTTGCATGTGGTCACTGGGTTGCATGTGGTCACTGGGTTGCATGTGGTCACTGGGTTGCATGTGGTCACTGGGTTGCATGTGGTCACTGGGTTGCATGTGGTCACTGGGTTGCATGTGGTCACTGGGTTGCATGTGGTCACTGGGTTGCATGTGGTCACTGGGTTGCATGTGGTCACTGGGTTGCATGTGGTCACTGGGTTGCATGTGGTCACTGGGTTGCATGTGGTCACTGGGTTGCATGTGGTCACTGGGTTGCATGTGGTCACTGGGTTGCATGCCGTCGCTGGGTTATATGTACTGCTCAGTGGAAAGGAACAGCCCCTCGTATCTCGCATTCAACGGTGCACCCACCGATAGCATGCATAAGTCCATCCCCCTGCTTCCAACCCATTTTCCTAACTTCTTTCTCATCTCTTTGTTCTCTTAGTCGCATGTTGCATCCTTCATGCCCCTTATGCCAGTACCCGCATGCCACACTTGTCCCGCTTTGTTGGATGGCTGGTTCGTTCACATGGGTGAAAGTTTCCCCTCCCTGGCGTGTGGCATGTGCATGTGTGTGGCATGTGGATGTGTGTGGCATGTGCATGTGTGTGGCATGTGCATGTGTGTGGCATGTGCATGTGTGTGGCATGTGCATGTGTGTGGCATGTGCATGTGTTTGGCATGTGCATGTGTGTGGCATGTGCATGTGTGTGGCATGTGCATGTGTGTGGCATGTGCATGTGTGTGGCATGTGCATGTGTGTGGCATGTGCATGTGTTTGGCATGTGCATGTGTGTGGCATGTGCATGGGTGATTGAGCAGGAGGTCATGAAGGCGAGTCATGAGAGGGACATGGAGCATGCCAAGGCAACCATGGTATCACTCCCACCCACCCACCATGTGCCAAACATCATGCATTTTCAGAATCATTCATTTGCACCACATTCCTTTCTTTCTCAGTCAAGCCTTGCCCACTTACCTCCCTTAGTGTCACTACCCATTCCCAACCCGCCCCTCCCCTCCCCCCCCCCCCCCCCCCCCCCCCCCCCCCCGTACCCTCCCCTCCACTCATTCTCTCAACCCCAACCTATTCCCACGTCCCTCCCATCTGCAGGGGGCGGCAGAGCCGGCAGTGGCAAGCAGGGCAGGGCAGAGCAGTGAGGAGGTGGAAGCACTGCAGAGGAGAGTGGCAGAGCTGGAGGCTACAGTGGATGGCAAGTCTCGTGAGGTCAGTAGCAGGGTTGAGGGTTTTCGGTTCACTCATGGTACACACCTAGTAGCATGCGTTTGAGAGCTGGCTCCCGCCCGCACCAGAACCGATACGTGAGTTTGACTAGCAAATGCTTTAGATTACCATCCGATCCTCACACCTCCTTGCCATCCACCTCCCTTGTCTGTTGTTCTCATTTGCTCCCCTCGTTCCTCCTCCCCTCCCTGCCCCCTCCTCCTCTCTTCCCCCACCACGCACAAACCCCACCGCCCCCTTCTTGTCGTGTTTTTCACACCCACAGCTGGCCATGGTATCAGAGTCATCAGAGGGGGATATGCAATCTGGAGATGCCTCAGTAACTATCCTCCTCCTCCTCCACCACACCCCACCCCACCTTGTTTCCACACCCACAGCTGGCCATGGCATCGGAGTCATCAGAGGGGGATATGCAATCCGTGCTGGCACAGCTGGAAAGCTGCAAGGAGCAGGAGAGGAAGCACAAGGAGCACGCGCAGCAGCTACAGGAAACCCTAAAAACCTACGAGCTGTCCCAGCTGCGCGCGCAAGAGCTACAATCTGCAAACGACGAGCTGAGGGACCAATCAGAGCGGCTTTTAGCTGAGATCCGGAGCTTAGAGATGGTGGTGGCAGGGGTTGAGTCGTTTGATCCGAGGCGGCCTAACCACCGGGTGCGGCTGCTGCGGCACCCGTCGTTTATGTGCTCGGTGTGTCGGGGGAGTGGGAGCGGGATTGCGTGGCGGTGCATCACTGGGAGGTGTAGCGATTCGATTCACCTTTCTTGTTTGACTTCGAGGTGATGATGTGCGGTGGTGGGTAAATGGATACTTTGGAAGGGAATATTTTAGGAAATGTATAAGCTATAGAGATTGGATGGACGTAGGGCAGCAAGCAGCTAGTGTGAGGAAAATTTGGCAAGAAATCGTTTTTTGTGTGAAGAATCAGATGTGTATTCGAATGCTAGTTTTTGATGAGAAAGTCATGACTTTGTAGTGAGCTTGGCACATAACTGATCCTAGACCGAGGAAACGAAAGTCGTACACAAAAGCGGACAAGAGCACCCCACCCTCCCGCACCACATCCGCCTTCCCCTCCACCTCCCTCCCATACCCACCCAGTTCCAAGAAATAACGGTACAGTGCGGTACGGTGCGATAGAGTTTAGATGACCTTGTACCCTTGTCCCCCTCGACATTGCCGAGCCGACACATTCCTCCCTTCGATTTCCCTGACACCTCCCACACTTCCAAATCATCCTAGATCCGCTCCTACTGTAAATCCCCGTTTCTAGCTCAAAGCGCGCCGCTGCTCCTTCCCCGCGCTGCTTCCGCGCGTCTCATCCGCCATGTCCGGCGATCAGGATCGCGAGCTCGCGCGCGAGCGCAATGCGGACCGCCGGCTGCCCGTCGACGCGCTGGCGCGCGTGGATCCCGCGGAGATGGTGCGCCTGCTGGGCCAAGCGCTCGTGCAGAGTGAGTGGCGTGGCGGTAGATACTGCCTGAAGGTTGCGGTCGTATGGATTGAGTGCATGGAATGCAGAGTGCGCGGCACGTGATAGAAGTAGTGTTTTGAGACGTTTCAAAACACTACTTCTATCAGGTCGTATGGACATGCATGGAATGCAGCGTGCGCGTCGGAGTCCCGCGGAGATGGTGCACGGTGATGGGGCAAGCGCTGGTGCGGAGTGAGTGGCTTCGGGTGGTACGGTCGATAGCGTTAGAGAAACTGCGAAACGTTCCTCAGAGTCGAAATGTGCCGTGTGACGTCGTAACGAGGTGACGATCAGTCAACTGGTGAGGACGCACGGGTTGGAGTAATGCCGCAACGCGATCACGCACGGCACCTTTAAAGCAAGAGTTAGAGCTGGAGTGAACGTTAGAGTTAACGTCAGGCAGGTATGGTGTCCCTGCTAGTGAGTGATTCGGTGTTAGTACTGCGGCACTCGCCTCGCCAGTAAGGAGACGGCGCCATGGGAATAGCTCATCGCGACATGGCGCAAAAGTACGGGTGGGACTGTACTCCTCGACACAATTCGCTCCCTCTCTCATTCGTGGTTCACACAACTCCCTCCCATTCATCAAAATGCCACCTTTTCACGGCTCACCTCTCTTGATCGCTCCATCCTTCCCGATTTGCGAGACGTTAGACGCGTCTCACATCACAAGCAATCCTCCTTCCCTTCGAGTTTATGCGAGATCTCAAAACGTCAACATCTTTCCCCTCGTTTCTCTCAAAACGTTAACATTGTGACCCGCGATTTCTTTCTCTCTCCCATTCAGCCGACTCCGCTCGCCCCGGCTTTTGCTACCACGCCGTGCGGAAGGAATTCGCGCAGCTCCTTGCCTCCTCCACCTTCCCACCTCCTCTTCCACCTCCTCCTGTCTCCTCGGGAAGCAGCAACACCACCACCACCATCACTGCCACCACTACCACCACCAACAACAAGAACGACAGCAGCAGCAGCAGTATAGCGTACCCTGGGCCTGTGACGTACGGCATGCTCTGTGTGCTCTCCATGTTGCAGGCTTCTGGAAGCGAGGAGGGCGGGGGACTCGTGGCGCACGGCGATACGCTGCTGCACCTGGTGCTGGCGTCGCTGGAAGGAGCCATGGGAGAGAAGGAGGGGGCAGACGCAGCAAGTGCTGCTGATGAAGCAGCAGCAACAACTGCCGATCCAGCAGTTTTAGGAGCTGCAGCAGCAGCAGCACCAGCAGCAGTAGCAGCAGCAGGAACGGCAGCAGCAGGTGGGACCATTGCAGTTGGGGCGGTAACCGATGAGGTTATAGCGAAGCGGTTGGCATGCGGCATGTTTTGGGGAGCCATGAGGAGCGCACAGGAGGCGAAGCGAGAAGCCAGAGTGAAGAAACCGGGCAAGGAGCCACAGGGAAAGAAGCGCAGAGCAGTGGCTGTTGCCGCAGAGGATGAGGCAGGCTCTTCTGCTTCTCCTCCTCCTTCTGCTGCTCCTGCTGCTCCTTCTGCCGCTTCTTCTGAGGCAGCAGCTGCTGCCGCAGCAGGTGCTGCTCTCCTTGACGTGCTGTTGTCTCACTCCCTGATTCACACCAACGGCACCACCACCACCACCACCACCACCACCAGCACCACCACCACCACCACCAGCACCAGCAGCACCAGCAGCGTCAGCGGCAGCGGCAGCACGGGCGTGGGTGCATGGGACTTCTCGAGCCTGCGTCCGCGTGTGCTGGTGCGGCTGCTGGCCGTGGCAAACGTGTCTCTGCAAGACCTTGACCTCTATGTCTCGTCCATGGGCTTAGCGCTGCCGCCACTAGCACGGGTGCAAGGGGACGGAGGTGTGTGGGAAGGGGCGGGAGCAGGGGCAGAGTCAGGCGAACCTGCTGCTGCTGCTGCTGTCTCTAGTGACGTTTCTTCTGCTGCCACCGCTCCTGTTTCTCCCGAAACCGTCCCGTTCGAAACCCCCTCTCCTTCCTCACCCGCATTAACCGAGGTGCGAGCCTACCTCCGCCTCCTCGTCTCCCGCAAGGCGTACCCCGCAGCAGTGGGGCTAATGAAGCAGCTGCACATGAGCGAAGGGAAATCCGGGGAGTTTCTTCTTGATATGGTGGAGAGGGGGCAGGTGGAGCTGGCCGCTGATTGGGCCAAGTACCTCGGCGGTGACACGTGTCGCGCGCTGATTCGCGCGTGCATGCAGAGGGACCTGTACAAGGCTGCGTATAAGGTGGTGGTGCGGTGCGAGATGAAGGAGGAGTTTCCCAACGCGTGGACCGAGTACCGGAAGAGGTGAGCGAAGGAGGCATGTCTGGCGTGTGAGGCGTGTCGGAGTACAGGAATCTTTGAGAGTTCCCAGAAGTCGATCACAAGGACTAGCGCGGTGCGAGATAGCGGAGTTTCCAAACACGTGAGGTGAGAACAGGAAGAGGTGAGTGAGAGATGGGGTCTGGGCTGGGCGTGCCTGCCTGACCTCTCTAGGCCGACACGTGCGGTGAGGTGAGACAATCATCTGGCGTTTGGGAGGAGGCCCTTCCTCACGGCACGTGTCGGCCTAGAGAGGAAGAGGCTTTTTTGTGACCGAAGGCGACTTATGGTGCTGCGGTGCGGTGCAAGAAGGGAGGCTATGGCTGTTGTTGAGAGTTCAGCTATGGGTATAAAATGTCTGGGAACTCTCATTGTTGAGGTTATTGAGGCGCCTTTATTGTTGAGGCCCCACCCGTTTCCCATCCCATCCTCCCCCTTTCCCGCTCCTCGTCATGCTCCTCTGCCTCCTTCCCTTCTCCTGCCCGCCATGCCACCCGGCTCGGCAGCTCGCTACGCAAGCTAGCGGACAAGTGCATGTGGGAGGTGGCGGAGTGCCTTGTGCCAGCATTGGCGACCTCCTGTCTGGCAAGTTGCAACCCATCCACCACCCACCCGCTCCTCGTCCTCTCTCCTTCCCCCCCATCCCGCCCACCAGCTCGCTGCGCAAGCTAGCGGACAAGTGCATGTGGGAGGTGGCGGAGTGTCTTGTGGGGGACGACCCCGACCTGCTCAACTACCTCGTGAGGCCATGGGGGCACGGGACCACGGGGGACGGGGGACGGGGGACGGGGGATGGGGGACGGGGAGACAAGCAGGGGCGCGGGACAGTTGGGCAAGGGCGGGGGGCAGAGGGGGTGTTTGGGGCCAGAGGGGCAGAGGGGCGCAGGGCACGGGGGAAGTGAACCAGTGAGATATAGTTCAAATTTTCCAAGTTTTTTGCACCCCTTGGTGCCGAACCCTTCCAACCACCGCTTTGTCGCCAAACCCTTCCTCCGAGTGTCTCGTCCGAGTGTCCCTATGAGGCTATGCCTCTCCCTCCTGCCTCTTCCCTCTGTCCCTTTCCTCTGTTTCTCCCTCGGCAACAGATTCTTCTGTTTGTGAGTTTTTGTTTAAGTTGGCATGGCATTGCTCTCCTCACGTCTTTGTTCCCCGTTCCTTTCCTGGTGTGTATGTTTCCAAGAGTCGATCCAATCCACAGTTCCCCTGTGAAGGCGCAGTAGACCAGCCTTTCTCTCATCATCGCCCTCCCTCTTTGTCCCTCCCACCCTCTCCCCTCCCCATCCCTTCCCAACCCCCTCCCCACCTCTTTCCCGTCCTCTCCTCACCCCCTCCCCACCCCCCGTCCCTTCCCACTTTTCTCCTTCCCTCGTCACCCATCTCCATCTTTCCCCACCCCCTCTGTCCCTCCCCAACCCTCTCCGTCCATCCCCACCTCTCCCCACCCCTTTCCCACCCGTTCCCACCCCCAATCAACTCCCCCCACAACCCCCCTGCAGCTGCAACTGGCGGTGGAGGCAGGAGAGGCGGAGTTTGCATCCTCCCTCTGTGCCCAGCACAACGTGCCCGTGCCACCTGCCGTGCAAGGTGAGTTGACTTTGGAGTCGACTCAAAAGTCGTCCCTCTGTGCCCACTGCCCATTGCAGCACAACGTGCCCGTGCCACCTGCCGTGCAAGGTGAGTTCGTGTGTCCGTGTATGTGGGTGGGCGTGCCATGCCAAGCCATGCATGTATGTACATTTTCGACCTCTCCCTTGGGCATGCCATGCCGTGCAAGTTCTCCTTGCCTTTCCAATTCCCCCTCCTCTCCCCCCCCCCTCCACCTCAACCTCTTCCCCCCACCCTTCCCCCTCTTCCCCCCACTCCCCCTCTCCATCCCCCTCCCCCTCCCCTTCCCCCATTTCCCTTCCCCCCCGCTCTTCCCCTCCCCCTTCCGCATGCCCCACCAGGCGCATTGGCATCAGAGGCCCCAACGCCAGTCCTCTCCCTCCCCTACCTGCTCCAGTGGGGGAGCAACGAGGGGCAGGGGGGGGGAAAGCTTGTAGACGGACTCAGTGACGCGCCTCAAGCATCGCTTGCTGAAAGGCAGGAGGATGGGGAGAAGCTGATAGAGACAAATTCTGAGGCGCCTCAGAGACTAGTTGGGGATGAAGAGGAGGAGAGGAGGAGGAGGAGGAGGAGGAGGGAAGCGATAATGATGGTTGATAGTGCAGAGAGTATTGAGCGCATGAGGGAGGTGTTATGCGGGGATGGGGTGGATGCGGTGGGGTTTGATTGTGAGTGGAAACCCAAGACTCAGAAGGGTGCTAAGGCCAATAAGGTGCGTGCTGAGGGTGGGTGGGGGGAAGGCGGAGAAGGAGAGGGTGGAGAGAGTGGGAGAGAGGTGGGGTAGAGAGGGGGAAGAGAGGGGGGAGATGAGGAGGGAGGGGCTAATGAGGAGGGAGAATGCAAATGGGAAAAAGGGTGGCGGGAGTGGGGTGGGGGGGGAGAGGAAAAAGGGGATTTGGGATGGGGATGATAAGGATAGGGTGGTGTTTGCCTGAAGGGCATGGGACCCCACTTGCAGTATTACCCTCTTCCTCTGTCATTTGATGCTCTACATTCAAGCCCAACGCCTACTCTCCCTCCCTCCCTCGTTCCCTCCCCCCTCCCATTCCCCCTCCCTCTCTCCCTGCTCTCCTCCTTTTCTCTCCCAAACCTCCCCACTTTTTCATATGTTGCTTCGTCTCGAATTCGCCCATTCTTCCCTTCTCTCTTTCTCCGCTCCTGGTTCCCGTTTTCATGCTCCGCCCCCTTCGTATCCCCCACACCCCCTCCCACCCCCTCTCAACCCCCTCCCACCTCCTCGCAACCCCTCATTCCTCTTCTAACCGCTTCTCACCGCCTCTCACCCCTTCGCACTCCTCCCAGGTGGCCATACTCCAGCTAGCCACGCGCCGGCAGGCCTTCCTCATCGATCTCATCACCATCACCGCCTCTCCACCCCTCTCGACCGCTCTCAACTCCGTCCTCCTCCACGTCTTCACCTCACCACACATACTCAAGCTCGGTAAGCGTGTCACACCCACACCACCAATCATCACACCCACACCACCAATCATCACACCCACGCCACCAATCATCACACCCACGCCACCAATCATCACACCCACGCCACCAATCATCACACCCACGCCACCAATCATCACACCCACGCCACCAATCATCACACCCACGCCACCAATCATCACACCCACGCCACCAATCATCACACCCACGCCACCAATCATCACACCCACACCACCAATCATCACACCCACGCCACCAATCATCACACCCACGCCACCAATCATCACACCCACGCCACCAATCATCACACCCACGCCACCAATCATCACACCCACGCCACCAATCATCACACAGTCACACCCACCCGCCAAGAGGGTTGTGTTTACATCACCCTCACACGTTTGTCTCTCCACTAGCCAACTGACGCTTGCCTCTGTGTTAGCCTCCCCCTCCTCCCTCCCCACTCTAAAGCTGCAGGGGGACCTTAAGTGAAAAACCCTTCTCATTTCTAACTTCCCCCATTCCTCCCTCCCGCCACTTCTCCCCTGTCCCCATCTCCCTTTCCTTCCCTTCCCCCCTTACCATCTTCCCGCCAACCAGCCTACGGTGCAGCCAACGACCTGCGTCTCCTCGCGCGCTCCCACCGCGCAGCCCTCCCAGCCGTCTCCACCTGCCACCCCGTGCTGGACCTCCAGCCTCTCGTCGCCCTCCTCTGGCCGCTCTCCGCCCAGGACACCCCCAAGGGGGGCCTGAAGGGCGTGGTGCGCAGCGTGTTTGGGCGGCGCATGAGTGCGCGCGTGCAGATGAGTGACTGGGAGGCAAGGCCGCTGAGTGCAGCGCAGGTGGAGTATGCAGGGCTGGATGCGATGGTGCTGCCGCATATCTTCGATCGCTGTGTGGCGGTGGCGAGGAAGCATGGTGCTGACAGCGTGGTGGCTGCTTGTCAGGTGCGTCTGGGAAGTGGGAGAGGTGGGGAAAGGAAGGGGGACGGGAAGGGGGAAAGGAAGGGGGAAGGGAAGGGGGAAGGGAAGGGGGACGGGAAGGGGGACGGGAAGGGGGACGGGAAGGGGGAAGGGGAGGGGGAAGGGAAGGGGGAAGGGAAGGGAAGGATGCTGATGCTTTTCTCCTTGAGGTGCCTCAAAAGATTGACTGACGGTACTCTCTGGTGTGCCTGGTAACCCTTGCTCATATCACACCCCGTTCCCCTCCCGCCCGCCCTCCCTCCGGCCTCTTTCTCTCTTCCCTCCGTCCACGCAAGGCGCCATGCCACCATCCCAACACGGCGACTGACTGCAACGATGATGAAGGCAAGGAGACCGCCTGAAAGCACCTTCCTCACACTTGCTTTTCCCTCGCGCCCTTCCCCCCCGCACTCCCTCCGCCCCTCTCTTCCCCCCTTCCCTCTCCCCTCCCTCCGTCCTTCCCCTCCCTCGCCTCCTCCTCCCTTCCCCTGCAGTCCTCCTTCCATGTTGACGGCTCTATCCCATCATCCGAGGACGATGACGATGATGACAGTGACCTCTCCGATCTGGTGGGGCAGGAGAGGGTATCAGCAGCAGCAGCAGCAGTAGCTGCTAACGTTGAAGTTGACTCAAAAGCCGCCCTCCGCCCTCCTCCCGTTTTCCCCGTCCTTCCCCTGCAGTCCTCATTCCGCGTTGACGGCTCTATCCCAGCATTTGAGGACGATGACAATGACGACAGTGACCTCTCAGATCTGGTGGGGCAGGAGCGAGTGGCAGCAGCAGCTGCAGCGGCAGGGCTTGTGCCCATGGCGGGATCGTCTCTTGAGGAGATTCTGGAGGGGAAAGAGCGGCAGGCTAAAGGGGGGGTGGGGCAGGAGCAGCAGTCGGTGCAGGGGGGATCGGGGTTGCAGCAGGGGGAACAGGGGGAGCAGGGGAGGCAGGAGAAAGAGGAGGAGACGAAGGAGGTGTGATGTATGCTCCTCTGCTGCCCATGACTTAGCATCTCTCTTCTCTACCCCTCCTCTCTTCACCCTCCCCATCCCCCTCTCCAACACCCTCCTCCGTCCCTCTCTCACCCTCTCGCCTCTCTCTTTCTCGGCCTCACGGTTTATTGTTCGTCCGCCCTTACCTGTCCTTTCTGCTTTTCTGTACAATCCCATATGCGCTCTCACACTGCCTGTTGTTTTCCCTGCTCTCCCTGCTCCCCTTGCGCTCCCTTCTCTTCCTTCTCCCCCTGCGCCCCCTGCTCTCCCTTCTCTCCCTTCTCTCCCTTCTCTCCCTTCTCTCCCTGCTCTCCCTGCTCTCCCTGCTTCTCTTGCCATCTTCTTGTCCCTCTGCTCCGCTCAGTCCTCGTCTGCACATGCCCTTTCTCTCAATCTCATGCCCTCTCACACGCCTCTTTGTCCCCTTTTTTCTCCCTCTCTCCTCCATTTCCCCTTCTCCTCCCGTTCTCTCTATCTCTTCTCCCGCTCCCTGCAGGCTCACACCCCTCACACTCCGCTGAACCTCACCCTGACTCCAGAGAACGCCTATGCCATTTGGACCACCGACCAGGTGCAAGCAGCGTTTGCGGACAGGAATAGTGATAGAGTTAGTGGCACCGACAGTGGCGGCAACAGTGGCGGCAGTAGTAGCAGTAGTGGCAGTAGTAGCAGTAGTGGCAGTAGTGGCAGTAGTGGCAGCAGTGGCAGCAGTGGCAGCAGTGGCAGCAGTGGGAGTAGCAGCAGCAGTAGTGGCGGCAGTAGTGGTGTCAGTAGTGGTGGCAGCGGTGGCAATAGTGGTAGCAGTAGTGGCAGTAGCAGTGGCAGCAGTGGCAGCAACAGCAGTAGTGGCAGCAGCGGCAGCAGTGACAGCAGTATTTCATGTGACAGCAGTCGGGGGGATAAGGAAGGAAGATGGAGCGGTGGGGGAGCAACAGGAGCAGCAGCACCAGCGTCACCACCACCAGTACCATCACCACCACCCGCAGCAGAACCACCATCCGCAGCAGCAGCAGCAGCAGGAGGAGGGGGAGTGGAAGTTGTACCACTAGTGTGTGTTGCTGTGACGCACACTGCACCTGTGAGGCTTCTGCACCTCGGGCCCCCCCTTTCCACCCATAATCATAATCTGCCATCTCTAAATCTGCTGCCATGCCATGCCGGGCCAAGCCATGTTACCCCATGCCGTGCGATGCCATGCGGAACCATGCGAAGCAAGAGCACTCAAAGCAGAACCACTCAGAGCGAGCCTATCAATATCAATTTCCGTTGCTGAGGAGACTGAGCGAGCGTTGTAGAACAAATTTCCAGTCGATTTTATAATTGAATCGTCGTACAATACAATACGCACGATTCGCCTCTCCTCCCTCTCCCACATCCCCGTCCTCCCTTTCCCGGCCCATCCCAGGGACAGTCAAGTCGAAGGTACAGCAATGACAGCAGCAGGCCAGGTCGCTGTTCATCCCGGCCCGAACAACTGACTCGACCCCAAACTCACGCTTCCTCCTCTCCTCCCTCTCCCACATTCCTCTCCTCCTCCTCTCCCCAGCCCATCCCAGGGACAGTCAAGTCGAAGGTGCAGGAATGGCAGCAGGCAAGGGCCCTGCCCGTTCCAACCTACTCCACCGTCAACCTCGCCACACGCTGGCTGTACGATGCACTCCCCTCCATTCTGCATGTACCTCATCTGCATCACGTGCAGCAGCGGGCCGTTGCAGCAGCGGCGGCGGCAGAAGCAGCACGGGCAGGAGAAGCAGGGGTTGCGGGAGGGGTGGGAGACGCAGGAGGAGCAGGAGGAACTGAAGCAGGAAGGCAGAGAGAAGCAAGTGGAGGCAGGGGGGGCGTTGAGACAGCTGAAAACCCCACGGGGCAGCATCACCCGTGGTGGGGGAACGGGAACGGGAACGGTCCTAGTGCTCTCTTCCCGTTCTTTGTGTCTCAGGTTCGCATTCAAGTGCCCAGACAGGCACGGCCACAGGCACCAGTAGGGGCATTGCCAGAGGCATTGCCTGGGTCAGCAGCAGGGGCGTTGGCAGGGGCAAGGGTGGCGGAGGGCAAGGGAGAGGCAGGGGAGGAGCACGAGAGGGAGCGGGAGGGGGAGGAGTGGGCGTGGGAGCGGTTCTTGGGGCTGCCAGCAGGAGCAGCAAAGGAGGCGGAGAACCGGGCGGCGTTTGCTGCACTGCAGGCACTGGTGGGGCGAGGTGAGGGGGGGTATGCGCTGCTCGTGCTTGTGCTTGGAATTGTGCTGCTGTGAGGGCACATGGTGCTGTGGGGTGGGGGAGCATTGTCGTGCAGTGTCATCGAGTTGTGGCTGAGAGCAGCACCAGCTTCACTCGTGGTTCCAGGCGAGCGAGAGGCGGCATGTGCTTGTGCTTGCTTAGAAGAATGGTGCTGTGTTGCCTTGCCGCGGGTGGGTTGCAGGAGGGGTGGAGGTCCACCCACTTAGGCTGTTGTGCACGTTGCACGAGTCAAGTTTTGAGGCGCCTCAAAATCCAGTTAGGCACTGCAGGCTGGAAAGTCTCCTCTGTAACTCTCCACGACTCTCAAGGCAGGAGAGGTGGAGGTTCACTTGGGTTCCCTCCTGCTAGTCTCCTCTTGAAAGTCGCGGTGAGGGGCGAATTCAGTATCTCCTGCCTTTCGAGGCTCCTTCCTTTAATGTTTAGTCATGTTGAGTATACTCTGGTTTCCTCTTCTGTCAAATTAACCAGTTGCTGCCAATCACCTGCCTGTGTATCTCCTGCCGGGAGTACATGATTGTGCCACAAGCAAATGAAAGTACATGTCTTTGACACTGTGCGATTACGCCACCTCCTGTTATTCACCTACCCTATTGCCCCTAACCGTGTCCTTGCCCATCACCTATATGTGCTTTCCACATACTCCCTTTCCTCACCATCCCACCACCCACGCCCATCCACATGCCCCCATCACCCGTGCCCGCCCTTTTGTATTCCAATGCCTCCCGCCCACCAGAGGAGGCGGAGTTCCTGGCGTTTGGTGACGTGCTGCGCCCACACAACATGGCAGCTGTGCCGCTCCGTGCGCCTCCCAGGCTTGCTCGTACGTGCGCTCGTGTGATTGTGTGCTGCTGTGCCCATGTGCTCTTGCATTCGTGGCTCATGTCCTGGCACTTGTCATTCTTTCTCGGCCAAACCCCTTCCTTGCTGCTTTTCACATGGCATAGTACTTATGACAGTCTTTCAATGTCTCTCCCTGCCTCCTTTCTACCTCCCACCTATTCTCACCCATTCCCACCTATTCATACCAACTCGCACCCCACTTCCAGCGGATATCATAGTTGCCATTGTGCCAGCAGCATCGACAGTCAATCTCAATGCCATTGCTGCGCATTTCGGCCTCCTTCCCAGGTACTATTGTTGCTCAGTTCAGACATTTGGGGACGTTGACCATGTATCGATTGAATGTCTTTGCTCCTTTTTCTGAAACCTTTGAATCGCCTCTCCTTCTACCCCTCCTCTTCCTCCTCCCTCTCCTCCCTTTTCTTCTCTTCCTCCCCTCTTTCCTCCAGATCCTCTCCTGCAGTCCTTTTTAACGTCCTGTTTGCTCTCCCAATGAGCGTGGTACTTTAGGAGCGCCCCTAAAGTCTTCCATTCAGCATGATACTTTATCGTCCCTTCATCCCCAGCCTCCTTCCAACACGTTCCTCCCTCCCCTCCTTGCTTATCTCCTTCCACTTCATATTCGGTTCCAAGAGTACCTCAAACTGCTCAGTCTGTCTGCCACTCTAATATACCCTTTTATTGATTTTTTTTTCTTACCTTTTCTTCCTCCCCTCCCTTTCCCATGGAACCTTTCCTCTCCCTGCTCTGCGTTTCTCTCTCCTCCCTCCACCCCTCTTCTCTCCCCCATCCCTCCCGCTAGCCCCCATCCCTCCCGCTTGGCCCCATCCCTCTCCTCGCCCCCATCCCTCTCCTCGCCCCTCCTCTCGCCCACCCCCTCGCAGTTGCCTCGCTCTCCCTTCCCCTTCGACTGTAAAGGCCCTCACGGGCTTCCCAAGCGATGTGCTGCCTCCCCTGGGATACACCCAGTCTGTCACCACTCTCATCGATGCCTCCCTGCTCCTCCACCTCTCGTCTCCCTCCACGCCCTGCTGCTCTTCTGCCTCCGCCCCATTACCCTTTCCATCCTCCGTTCCTTCAAGTGCGGATGAACCTCAGCAGTCTCAATTGTTGCAGCAGCAGCGGCAGCAGCAGCAGCAGCAGGAGCAGCAGGAGCAGCAGCAGGAGCAGCAGGAGCAGCAGCAGGAGCAGCAGGAGCAGCAGCAGGAGCAGCAGGAGCAGCAGGAGCAGCAGCAGGAGCAGCAGCAGGAGCAGCAGGAGCAGCAGGAGCAGCAGCAGGAGCAGCAGGAGCAGCAGGAGCAGCAGCAGGAGCAGCAGGAGCAGCAGGAGCAGCAGCAGGGGCAGCAGGAGCAGCAGCAGCAGCCCCAGCAGGAGGCAGTGCTGATGATGTCTGCAGGGGACCAAGATCAATGGATGTTCATCCGACCCCACCCCCTCCTCCAAGTCACTCAAGCCATTCCTGTGCTCAATCTCGCCCTCCCGTGTTCCAACGCTCTTGCCTCCTCTCCCGCTCTTGCCTCCTCTCCCGCTCCTGCCTCCTCTCCCGCTCCTTCCTCCTCTCCCGCTCCTTCCTCCTCTCCCGCTCCTGCCTCCTCTCCTTCGTCTCCCCTCTCTCCATCACCATCTCTTCCAACTGCTCCTTTCTCTTCTCCCTCTCCTTCCTCTCCTACCTCTCCTACCTTTCCTACCTCTCCTTCCTCTCCTTCCACTCTCTCCTCTCCTGCCTCAAATGCATCCTCGTTTTCCAATCCTCCTCCTACTTTCCTCCCTCTTTCACCCTCCTCATCTTCCTCCTCTTCCTTTTCCTCTTCCCTTTCTTCATCTCCATTTCTTCCCTCCTCTTCCACTCCTCCCTCCTTTTCCCCCTTCTCTCCGTCCTCTTCCTCCTTGTCCACACCCATCTTGTCATCTCCATCCACTTCCTCCCATACTCCAACCCCAACCCTTCCATTCGTCCTCCATCCCTCCTCTCAACCCTCCCATTCCTCCTCCCAACCTTCCCGTTCCTCCTCCTTTCTTCCATCCTCCCTCGAACCATCGTCCACTTTTTCCCTTCAAGATTCCCCCAGCAGCAACCCCAGCACACCTCGAACCTTTCACAGTACAACTTCCTTTGCTCCTCATGCTCTTCTGGCTGCTTTCACTCTAGCCTTAGCGCCCCTTAGTTCCTCTTTCTGCGACGTTGTTGCTGCTGCCGCCGCCGCTTCCACTCCCTCCACTGCTCCTACTGCCGTTGCTGCTGCTCTCGCACATGCTGTTGTGGGTGCCGCTGTGGTTGCTGGTGCTGCTGTCGCCTCTCTATCCCACACACCACTACACATCCCCCCATTGTTCCACATGAGCCTTACTATAGCATCATCTCAACACCTGACCACCTGCACAACCCTTACACACGATCACCAAGCAACTTGCTTTGTAAACACACGACAAAGCAGGGCCGTTGCAACCCGTTCAGCCTCACTGAATCGGCAGCAGCAGCAGCAGCAGCAGCAGCAGCAGCAGGATTGCAGGAGCGGGTGGTTAGCAAAGGGAGCACAGGGAGCACCATACGAGATGCAACAGCAATGGGAAACCGGATCCGGTACCGAGGAGCTGAACCTCACGAGCCTCAGCCGTCAGGTGTCAGCTTTTGAGTCGACTCAAAAGCTGAACCTCACGAGCCTCAGCCGTCAGGTGTCAGCTTTTGAGTCGACTCAAAAGCTGAGCCTCAGCCGTCAGGTGTCAGCTTTTGAGTCGACTCAAAAGCTGAACCTCATGAGCCTCAGCCGTCAGGTGTCAGTGCGTTCAAAGAGTCCTATCCACAACCGGCTGCATCGTCAGAGTTCCATAGAATTGGCACCTCATGAGGCATCTCAAAGGCTGCTGAATTCGCGGCAAATATCTACTGGAGCAGTGATGTGCGTTCCAGTTCACGAGTTCGCCAGGAGAGGGAGATTTTTGGAGAGGTCAAAACAGTTGCAGAGGCTTCTTCCTGGTGGGGTGGCAGTGCTGAAGCTGCCAGTCGCGTTGCTGTAGGCACGGAATTTTGGAGGTCTTCCAGTGAAGTGTTGATTTCTGAGGCGCCTCAGCAGTCGCAGCGGCTTACGGGGAGGGTGCCGGTGCTGCAGCAGAAGCTGAAGCTGAACGAGCCAGCTGCGTTGCTGTAGGCACCAAGAAGAGGCAGGGCAGGGCAGGGCAGGGCAGGTCACATGAGGTCTGTTCGGGCTGAGTTGATTTGCTGCCTCAAGCTGACCGAATCACACTTGCCGAAACTCCCGCTCGTGCTTGCTGTAGGAAAAGGTTAGCGGGTCGGATCACATGACATGATTCATCTGCTGATGTGCCATGGAGGGGACACATGACATGAATGTCCGTTGACAATCTTGAAACACATATCCTCACATGGAGTCGTCACCATTCTCAAAACTGGCAGTCTTCGAACACATGAAACTGCTGTACCTGCGGTGGTTTGGTGAACTACGTTATTGCTGGCATAAACCTGAACTGCGCCTGATACCGGGTACCGTTTTACTGCTGTTTAAATGGCCATGTGACGAGCATAATGTTTAGTCTGGTGGGTATCTCTCTAATAGCCTGCATGGATGACAGAGATTGACACTGTACTGTACATACATACGGTACCTATTACCGAGCCCAAATGTGCCCAACCTCATCTCTAATGCATTGGGGGTGGGGGCTTAACCGTTCAAATGCTCTGAATCCTAGTTTGTGCACATCGGGTCCAATGTGGCATTCAAAGTACCAGTACTTGACTTGCAGTTTGCTATTGATCTGGTGGGCATAACATGCATAACTACTTCACAGCATTATTAGCAGTGTACTTGGTTCATCATAGCAGCCGGGCATGCAAGGAGTGCAGATTAAAGCTACACACAGACCCTTGAACTTGAGTTGAGTTGAGTTGAGAGCTGTTTTAGGGAGCAAAACATCGTTGTGAGCAACTGCTTATGCAGTGCGGCGCACGGCCTTTGGTTGTGAGGTGATCACCAGCAGATGCGTTGCTGCAATTACCCATCTGATCGATGTGTCCGTGGTGGGGGAGAGGGGGAGGGAAAGGACAACAGGGGGAAGGGTGGGAGGAAAGGGTTACTTATGAGAACCAAAGAGGTGATCACCAGCAGATGCGTTGCTGCAATTACCCATCTGATCGATGTGTCCGTGGTGGGGGAGAGGGGGAGGGAAAGGACAACAGGGGGAAGGGTGGGAGGAAAGGGTTACTTATGAGAACCAAAGAGGTGATCACCAGCAGATGCGTGGCTGCTATTACCCATCTGATAGATGTGTCCGTGGTGGGGGAGGAACGAGAGGGGAGGGGAGCGAGGCACAGGAAGGGCGCGTGGCAATGGAGAAGGAGGATGGGAGGGTTGCTTATGACATGAGTGGACTCAAAAGAAACGATCACCAGCAAACATGGGGGCTGACATGGGGGCAGACAAAACCGGAGAAAGGTACATTCCAACCACCAAGAAGATATGCCAGTAGCATCCTTTGAGAGACATGTGAGGGTGGGGAGAAGGGGCAGGGGAGCGGGTGAGAGGGGGGATGGAAGTGGGGAGATGGGAGAGCAGAAGCAGCGGGGAAGGGTGCGAATGGGGGGGGAGAGGAGCGAGAGAGGAGGAGAGATGCAAGAGAGAACGAGCTGGAGAGAGAACAACAGGGAGCGATAATTCGAGTGACAAACAAGCAATAGTAGCACAACAATAGGGGAGATGAGATGGAAATGAGCACGTGGCGATATATAGTACAAGCACTGGAGGGAAAGCGAGGGGTGCAATGCAAGTAGCTGTGATGCTACAAACAATGCACTCACTTATAACTGCCAGTAGGAGCATGACACAGCACAGTATTCACTGTGATGAGAGCTTCTCCTGTCATAGTCTGAGTTTTATTGTTACATTTCCAAAACAAAAACAAAACAAAAAAACACAAAAGCATACAACAAGATGCCCTCACCTATAGACCACAGGCAGCACCAATATGCAGTACAGAGCCACCTTTTTCTGCCACAGCCTGCGCAGTTCGGGCAGCTGCACGAAAACTTCTGTCACGTCGACAGTGTACGAGCCGGCTAGAAGACTGCTCCCAGAGGAAAAAAGGAGAGTGGATGAAGAAAGAGGGCGGACGGGGGGGAGGAGGATAATGGGGTGGAAAGGGGGGCAGGATGGAGGGAAGGGGGCGTTTTAGGTAGGTTAAAAGGAGGTGTGGCAAAGTGGCAGGGTTGAGGAGACTTGTGAGGGCGGTGATGACACGTCTCAGAAGGCATTGATTGCTCGCACATTGTGTAACAGCAGCTTGACCTGTGTGCGGACAGAGCAGCGTTACAGGCCACAAAGCCATGATGAACCCATCAGCAGCCCATCAACCCAGCGACCTCCATCAATGCATCGACGCATCGACCCACCAGCCCATAACGTTTTTGATTGCAAGACGCCTCAACAACACAGCACCAACACAGGAAGCCCAGTGCAGCCCACACCACCGCAACCCACACCACGCCACCGCACAGCACCGACCCACCATCGCGCGTGGAAGAGCAGCAGCGGCAAGTTGAGAGCAAAGAGCAGGAGGCCGAGCAGGGAGGGCGGGAAGAGCAGCAGCAGCAGCGCGACTGCAGCGTGTGCGAGCATGTCGGGCAGCAGGAAGCGGTTGATAGACGCCGCACTGTCGTGTGGGTTGATGTAGTCGTGCTGCAGGTCCGATAGAGTTACCAGCTGAGGGGGGGAGGGGGAGAGGGGGAGGGAGATACAGGGAACAGAGGGAGTGGAATAGGAGAAAGGGGACAGAGTGCGGTTGGGGGAAGAAGGCCCAGGGGAAGGATTGAAAAGGGTACGGAATGATTCTTTCCCCTTCTGCCGCCCTGCACTCACGCAGAAGATACCGACGGCGACTAGAAGCCCCGCCGCCACGAACGCGAAGCCCCATACCAGGAACGCCGCCCATGCGCCCACGCGCCCGCCGCCGCCGCGGTCGCCGCCAGAAGCGCGCCGCCAGCTATACCCCGCGGGATTAACATGGCCCGTGATATCGATCCCCCCGCTTCCCCCTTCCGCCTCCCCCCCTCCCGCGGTCGCCGCCTCTTGCGCAAGCCTGATAGCGCGCTTTCCTTCACTCGATATTTGCCCGCTCCTCTCCAGAATCCTCGCACGATCGGGATTCGCGGATGCGAGGACCGCGTCAGCGGGAATTGCGGCGAGGCTGAGTGCTAAAAGAAGGATATAAGCGGGTAGCGACAGGAAAAACGATGGCTTACTGAGCGTGAGAGTGGGTCGTGAACGGAGGGTTGGGATTTTCAGTGAAGAAGGGACCCGCGGGATTGAGCAGTGGACGTGGCGGAAGCGCGCCAAGGAGATGGCCATGTAAGAATGGCGGCTGCAATACACGCAGGACGGGAGGAGCTGAGTCCTACCAATCGATTATATCGGAGGGTGCAGGCGAAATGGAGTGATCCTCGTTATAACATGTTTAGCCTTATCGATCCTTGCAGAAAAGGTAATGTTTTTCTTTGAGTGCTGTCTATACATGTTAATTTTCGTGAATACCATCACACTTTCCTCATACATCTCAATTGGATTCCCCATCCAATTCCCAAATGCATGTAGTCCATACGCATGTACAACGGCCAATGGCATGATCTAGTCTTGGTTCAGGCCTACAATACATGGAGCGCAAGCACCCGAATACTTCATGGTAGTGTGCAAGATGGGAAGGGAGGGGTGTTTATGCTGAACAGGGCAGACAGACCTAAGAAGGCATGAAGTGTGGCGGAGCTTCATTTCCCCTCAAATAGTGTCTGTTCTCAGGAAGACTTCGGGCCCACGCTGCAACGTGTACGCGCCATGAATCATGAGATACTGATGCAGATGGCACAGAGGGGTTCCAGGTGAATTTCCGTCACTAATAGCGTAGTTGCAGCAGCACCAGAAGTTAATTGTTCCACTGACGCAGCTTAAGGCTTATAGCCAGTGAGGGTAAATCCCCGGCCAACGATTTCGCCCACACAGAACCAGGCATACACCTCCGCGAGAAACAATGTGGCAATCCCGATCTCCTCTAGTTGCAGCTCCGCTCGGTTCGCCCACTTCTGCTTCACGATCTGCAGTTCTTGCTGCGCATGCTGATACCGTTTGGGAAAACTGCAACGAACAAAACGCGTGAGGTTAGCAAACTGGCAAGGGGAAAACAACGCTAAGCAAACTGGATAGAGGCAGCCAACGAGTTCAGGAAGATCGCGAGGTGGGGACTTACCTCGCCAAAGTGGTGTAATAAAGCTGCTTCGAGAGCTCCTTCACCTTCTCTGGATTCCCGCCATCAACAATGTACTGCTTGTTGGTCTCAAGTAGCTGCATCGACAAAACGGATAGCTGATTGTTGGCGACACACATAAAACAAGGACGAAGAGCAGGATACAGGACGCGGAAAAACTGAGGCAGCTAATCTTGATGGCCATGACGCGTACCTGCTTGTAATACGCAGATCCGTGATTAGTAGCGGAGCAGAGAGCGGAGGAGACCTGACGTCTGGCAGTGTTGATAAGGTGCGCCATGTTGTTGGTCACGAAGCCACTTGCTAGCAGCACCCAACACTACCAGAATAAGGGAATCCAGAGAGCGACGAAGCAACTTTGCTGCGACTTGTAGTCACAGCAACCCTTAAGGTGTGAAAAAGGATCTCCAGGCTCTGTGGAACAAGCATGGTGGTGTCTGGTTGCAGGAGAACCAAGCGAGGAGGAAGGACAACCTCATGTCCCGAAACAGGCGCGCTGGGTTACCTGATACGAAACCTCTCGGATGTAAAAGGTTACGACAAACCCAGGGAAACAAAAAGTGACAGCTATGTACGGTAACTTCCTAACCATAGTTATTTTGCTGACTGTAGTTGGTATTTAGGTCGAAAGCATTAGTGGCAGAAACTGTAAAAGAAACATCAGGCATCCTGAACGTAAAATATACACGAATCATCAGGTACATTGACCAAGGTTCGGGTCGGGTGGACCAGGTGTTTACACAGCAACGTAGGTCCTAGAGTAATCAGCGGAAAATTCCAGCATTGTGCATCCAGTCAACCAAAGTTGACCAGTGTGCAGTGCAGCCATGTCTGTGCCTTTGCAGGGGGCGTGAACTCCCTGCACGCGAATTTTCCCTGCACCTGATGGAAATAATACACCCGTGGGTTTTGTGCCGTGAAGTTGCACCCACTTTAGGAGCACCTAGTGTCAAAATGTTATATTGTGTAGGCTGTAGTGGGGTAGCCCATGTTGGAATCACCGAAAGGTTATATAAAGCATTCCCGAAGCTGTTCCACTGTACCAGTACCGCAATAGCTCATATAGAGCATGCGGAATATCGAGGGTCACTCGAAGGTCAACCGTCTGAGGAAGTCAACGGTCGTGACCCTTGACAATTCAGTAACCGCGCGACAGTTAATTCACTGCAACATGGTAACTGTCGAAAATAGCAATAGTCACGGTTACTGTAGCTATGCAATACAGTTAATAAGGGAATGTACCCCTTAGTGAGAAAACTGAAACGAGAATGATTGAACTATGAATGAACTGAGTACAATGTACTAACCCTATTGTTCTGACACACCCCACTATAGCCTACACAATAAGCACAAGCTACATGTTCTGACACACCCCCATAGGCAAAGTGGGGGAGAACAAGGGGTCACAGGACCAGTCAAGCAAAGCAAAGCAAAGCAAGCTCAGGGTGGATCACAAAGTCACCACACATTCCAAGCACAAGTTCAAGGCCACAAGGCCAGTTCACATGCAGGAGTACATATATATAAAGGACTAGACAAGCAAGAGCAGGTGTATATATATGCAGCAGTACAAGCAAGGTCAAGAGGTAAGTAAGTGAGGCAAGACAGGCACAAGACCCAGCTGCGTGCAGAAGCGCTGATGATCACAAGGCGCAAGTGCCTTGGTGAAGACATCAGCAGTGTTGGCCTCAGAGGCCACGTACGCAAGCCGCAACTGACCACGCTGCTGTAGCTCACGAGCAAGAAAGTAGCGAAGAGCAATGTGCTTTGTTCTGTGCTCCAGTCTCTGCTCTCGACACAAGGCCAGCATAGCCTTGTTGTCTACGTACAGGACTGAAGGAGAACGAGGCGACTCTCCAAGGTCGGTCAGCAGGTAGGTGAGCCAGCGAAGCTCCTGTGCAGCCATGGCCCCGGCGTAGATCTCAGCCTCACAACTGGAGCCGAGAACAGAAGACGAGCAGGTAGCCCGCCACGAAACAGAGCCGGAACCAAGGCTGAAGGTGTAGCCCTGTGACGACCGCTGCGTAGCCTGGTCGTCAGCCCAAGAAGCGTCCGCGTGCCAAGTAAAGACCACTGGACTCCGCCCTCCAAGCACTAGCCCCATGCCCGACGTACTGCACAAGTAGCGCAACACCCTCTTCGCTGCAGCCATGTGCTCTGGTCTGTGTCTCCCAGGAGCAACATAGCGTGCAAGAATGCTAAGAGGGTATGCAAGGTCAGGTCGTGTGCAGGTCATCAGGTACATGAGGCAGCCAAAAAGCTCTGGGTACGGGCCACTCGACTCCACGGACTCATCCGAAGGCAGAGCTGAGAGCGAGTGGCGAGTAGGCAGAGGAGTGGCCTGAGGCAAGGAGTACGTGAAGCCGAAGCGCTGAAGGACCTGCTGCACCATGTGTGACTGAGTCAGAGTAATGGTCCGCTGTGCTCTGTCCCGGGTGATCTGCAAGCCAAGGTAGCTGCGCAGTTCACCCAGGTCTGTGCACGTGTGTCTCTTCTGCAGCTCGGACTTCACGTAGGCGAGTCCAGCAGTGTCAGCTGTGGCAAAGACCAAATCGTCGACGTATACGAGGATGTAGAACGGCGGCAGAGAGGTGTCGGTGCGCAGAAACAGCGACGGGTCGGCAGTAGAAGGAGCAAACACAAGAGCCGCAAGCGTAGTCCTCAGTGTGTCGTGCCACTCACGTGGCGCCTGGCGGAGACCGTAGACTGGATGCCGGAGGCTCCACTGAGTACCAGGAGGGAAAGACCCAGTGAAGCCAGGTGGGCGGCGCAGCCAGATCTCCTCGTGCAGGCTGCCCTGCAAGAAAGCTGTGCTGAAGTCAAGAGAGTGCAGCTCGTAGTCACGGTGAGCAGCGACGTGCAGCAATACCCGAAGAGTGGTTATCTTCGGGGTGGGAGAGAAGGTCTGAAAGTAGTCAACTCCCTGCCGCTGACTGAAGCCACGAGCCACGTAACGCGCCTTGAAGACAGGCGGAGAACCCGGCGGCCGCTTCACCCTGAAGATCCACATTCCACTGACGATATTCGCCCCAGGAGGGGGGACAGCGTCAACGTAGGTGCCTGTGGACTTCCACGAAGCCATCTCTGCATCCATAGCTGCCTGCCACTGAGAGGAGTAGGGACCCTCTATCGCCTCCGCGTAAGAGCGCGGAGTCGGGATGTGATGACAGTAGCCAGGAGACGCGTGACAGTAGGACTGGCAGCACGAAGAGAGTCCGACTCCGGGTCCGCAAAAGGAGGAAGAGAGGACGCAGGAGGACAAGGTAAAGGGGCACGCAGAGGAGCAGTGGAGGGACGCAGAGACATCCGGTGCGTGCCAGGGACAGGAGGAGGACGCTGACGCAAACCACGACCACTAGCGCGAGCAGCACGGACAGGCGACGCAGGGCGAGACGCAGGCTCACGACGCTCAGCAAGACCTCCAGTAGGACCAGTGTAGGGAGAAGGAGCAGGCAAAGGGGAGGCAGGCTGCAACAGTAACTGTGACGGGACTGGCTGTGGACACTCTAAAGAAGGAGGAGGACCAGTAGAAGGCAGAAGACCAAGAACCTGCTGCCGGAGTGGAACGAAGTACGGTCGAGGCCGCCTTGCGACGCCAGACACAGCAGGTACAGCACCAGCACCCCCACCACGAGCACCCGCTCCAGCTGCACCTCCAGTAGCGCCAGAACCTCCAGCAGTACCAGGAGTACTCGCAGCAAGACCGCCAGCAGTAGTCTCAGCTCCAACACCCTCAGCAGCACCAGCTCCAGTCGAACCCGCAGGCCCAGCAGCTCCAGTACTCCCAGTATGAGCACCTCCGGGACCCGCGACAGCAGCACCCTCAGTAGCCGAAGAACCTCCAGCACCAACAGCACGCCTCCAGCACCGGGCAAACCACTCGCGCAGCTCCCGTGGAGAGAGTGGCTCCCGCAGAGACGAAGCACCCGGAGAACCCCCAGGCGGAGCACCTCCAAGCTCAGCACCCCCAGGCTCAGCACCCCCAGGCTCAGTACCCCCAGGCTCAGCAACCCCAGGCGCAGTACCCTCAGACTCAGCACCCCCAGGCTCAGCACCCCCAGGCTCAGCACCCCCAGGCACAGCACCCCCAGTCGCAGCACCCCCAGGCTCAGCACCCTAGGCTCAGCACCCCCAGTCGCAGCACCCCCAGGCTCAGCACCCTCAGCAGCACCAGAGTCACCAGTGACCTCGACAGGCTCGACTGCACCTACCTGGGACACACCTGAAGGGGACGGACCCTGAGGGGGGAGGGGGTCTACCGGAGGGGGACCTGGTACAAGGAAGAGCAGCGGCGGGGGGAGGGACGGAGTGCGGTAGGGGAAGAGGCGGTAGTAGGGGACCGACTCGTCAAACGTGGCGTCCTGGGAGGACAGAACACGGCGAGAGGTGGGGTGGTAGAACTGCCACCCAGGCGCGTCAGGGGGGAACCCCAGGAAGACGCAAGGAGCAGCACGAGGGGACAGCTTGTCCGCAGACAAGTCGCGGACAAACGCCCGAGATCCCCAGACCCGGAACGCCGACGCATCGCCAACCTTCCCCGTCCACAGCAAGGCTGGGGAGGTCTCCGGCCTGGAGACCCTGGGGTGTAGGTTGATCTGATGCGCCGCGTACCTCACCGCAAACGGCCACAGAAAATGGGGAGCAGCCGCATGCATCATAGACGTACGAGCGACGTCCATGACCATGCCAATGCGGCGCTCAGCAATCCCATTTTGCTGCGGGGAGTCCGGAAGCGTGAAGGTCTGACGGATTCCTCGTGCGCGACAGTAGGCTCTCAGAAGGCCAGACGAAAACTCTCCGCCTCTGTCCGAGTGCAGACGCAGAACAGGAAAGTCTGAGCCAAAGCTCTGCCTGAGCTGGAGACGAGCTGCGCGGATCCAGTCGATCAGCACCTCAGTGACATCACCCTTGCTGCGCAGGGGGAAGACTGCGGTGTAACGCGAGTAGTCGTCAACAACGAGCAGGAAGTAGCGCTCGTGACCCTGTCCACGGACGCGGGCGGGGCCCCACACGTCCATGTGAAGCGTCTGCAACGGGGCCTCTGTCGGAGGAAACCGGGAGGAGTGAGGGGCAGCCCGCTGGC